GCCTGTTCGGTGGTCCTGCCCGGTCTCCCACTAAATTGGGTATCTGGTAGTAAACCGTGCTTTTTGGCGAGATACGATAGCCGTCGCGCCATAACCGCCTCGAGAAGTTTACCCAGAGTGTTGAGGAGTGAGATCGGGCGGTAGGCCCCAGGGACCGCGTAATCCGGTTTCCCAGGTTTCCGTAGCACCACGATCTTCGCTCTCCGCCATCGCTTTGGGTGATGTCCTAGGTTGATCGACGCGGTGAAGATTTCGGTGATGAAGTGTTTAAGGTATTTCCATAGCTGCTTCCATACGAGCGTCGGCAGGTCGTCCTCACCAGGAGCTGTGGAGCCTTTTGCGGCTTTAAGGGCACGTTCGATCTCGAGTTCGGTGATAGGTTGCCAGGGGAGTTCTAGCGGAGCGGAGGTTGGTGGGTCTCCGTGGGGTTCGTCTATCTGTGGGAAGAAGGCGTCTAGGAAAGCTTGTGCCTTTTCCTCGTTCTCGCTGACTATAGTCGTGCCCACACGCAGGGCCGGGACACAGCCCCAGGCCTCTCGTGGTTTCATGTAGGTAGCTGCCTTCCAGAGTTTCCCTTCCCCGGCTTCGTCCAGGAACTGTTTCCAATGCGACGCTTTGACTTTTTCGATGGTTCGAGTCCACGCGCGTCGTTTCTGTTGCATCTCTTGGAAGAGGGTCATGGAGCGGGTATGGCTTCGCCCGAGCTCCGCACAGCTCTCTTGCCACTTGCGTCGTAGCTGGTTGACCTCGGTCTGTTGAATTTTGAGGTCTGGCGTGAACCATCGCTTCGAGTACGGTGTTGGTCGTAGGTTGGGGGTATATTTGTCCACCGCTGTTATAGTCGCCTCTGTGAGCCTTTCGACTGTCTCGTCTAGCGCTGGCCTCGTTTTCACCTCCTTCCATGGGCCCAATTTTCGAAGCACGTCGTCGGCGATCTTCTGCCAGTCCGCGCGGTCGTAGGCCTTCCTCGCCTTGCCGGTAGGCTGGGGCGGGGTTCTTAGGCTCCAGTCCGAGTACGTTGCGCGGTGGTCCGACCCGTAGTTTTCGTGGTAGAGGTGACACTTGACGAGTAGCTCTGGCTGGTTCGTTACCGTCTGGTCAATAGTGGTGTTCTTCCCCGGGTCGTTTAGGGGCCAGAATGTCGCTGTTCCTCGAGGAAGACAGCCGCGTAGGCTGTGGGTTTGGAAGAAGTCGATCAGTTCGCTTGCTTCTTCAATGAACCGTGGTAGGATATAGTTGCCACCCCAAGTCGGGTAGTGTCGGTTGAAATCTCCAGAGAGGATCACGCTTGTTGACCTTCGGTCCTCTTGGAGATTAGATTTTATTGTGTTCTGGATTGCTGTGAGTGCTAATTCAGCCGACGCTTCGTTAGGTGTGAATAGCGGGACCGGTGGGAGATAAACTGAAAAGAGAAGTATTTGAGAGTCTGCTGTCCAGATCTTGATCGCGGTAAGGTCTGGGTGGTCACAGTGGATCTGCCGGTGTGAGGACGTTGAGACTCTCTTGTTGACGTAGATTAGACTCCGGAACCGATCTGCGTCGGTCTCAACGGTAGGTCGATATAGCCGCCAGGCGCTGTGGTTGACATGCGTTTGGTAGGTAGTGATTGAGGGTTCTTGGATTAGGAGCACATCCAAGTTTTGGCTTTGGTAGTCGTTGATGAGTGCTTCCATTCTTAGTCCCGATTTCATTATGTTCAACTGTAGTATACGTAGGTTTGTCTCTAACATTGAGGGGAGTTAGAAGTTGCGGGGGTAGGACACTATCGATCACCAGTTGGGTGTTCGCCGCTGCAGTCGAGGCATCGAGCTCTTACCCCTAGGGGGCATCGTTGCCGCTCATGTTGACCTGCGCAGTGTCCACACCGTGGTGTTTCCTTGCACGACCATGCAAGGTGTCCGAAGCGTTGGCACCGGAAGCATCTCTTCTTCTTGATCTCGCGGCGTTCCACGCTGCCGATGTATCGTTGGCCGACAACGAGCCCGTTGTTGAGCATGTGTTCGGCTCCCTCTGCAGAGTCGAACCAGATACCGAGCGATGCAAACTTCCCTAACACCTTGTCCTTCCTCTTCAGCCATGCTATCTCTTCGATTCGGAAGCCCCGTTCCACCAAGTCGTTTTCATCCATGATTTTCTCAATAGCCTGCGTGTTCGCGTTTTCTAGGTCGAAGTCCTTTGTCGGGGTGCGGTGCACGACAACACCGAATCGAGGCTTCACTAGCTTCGTGCCGTTCCCTAGTTCGCTCAGCCATTCGGTGTTCTTGCGGGCCACCTCGGCCGATTCTGAGTCCTTGAAGCGGATTACGTAACCAGTCTTGGTAGTCCCGATGCCAGCGACCTGGGCGTCTTGCGTGTAGGGAGCGTTCAACAGGGCGGTGCGGATATGGGTAGTGGCGGCTTCGGTGGGGAGGTATCGGCCGAAAGTGTCCCCATCGGTAGTGTCATTGTCTCTTGGATCCACGAACGATCTCTGCGTACTGATTCGGATGCAATTCTGTTCTTTCTCGGGCGGGTGGTGGCTCGGTTGGGGGAGCTATTGCCGCCGCCAGCCGCTACAGCCGCCCACGATCTGGTTGGGGCCACTGGTGTCAGGGTTTCAATTCGTTCTCGCAGAGCTCTGATTTCTTCATGGAGCGTTTCATTCTTATCTCGGAGGACGTTCTGGTCGTGTTTGACCTCTAGGATCTCGGCTTTGGTGGACTCGATGACCGTGGTCTGGTGGGCGATGATTTCCTTCAGGCTGTTGATGAGCCGTCGGACCTCCTTGGTCGTCACCCGCCCGATATTGTCTTCGGAGCCTCCAAACTCAGGGTTTGAGTAAGCAACGGTGGTGGCTTCATTCCTATTGCGAGGGCTTCTTCTCTTTCGAGGCACGATCGGTTCGAAGTCTTCCAGGGTGAACAGCTGTGCCCTCTTTGGGTGTTTGTGGGGGAGGGCTCGGGCCCTCCCGCGGGTGGGTCCGCCATCGGTCCGGGATTAGTTCCCGCTCGGCACACAACGACGTTTTATTCGCAATAGTATCGACCACAACGCAGTCGTCCTGGCGTCACACGTCCCCAGTTTCGCTATTTCCTGGGATACCCAAAGGCTACAGAGGAGTGCAAAACCCGCGCTTTACCACAGTATTACAGATGTGTGTGTGTGTGTGTGTGATTTCATTTACCCTGACCCCTCGCGAACGATATGCAGGATACAACTACTTTCTAAATACATGCTGATTGATCCTTGAGATTGTTCCAAACTTCCTGAACGGTGAACTTTGAGCCTCACCTGGTAAAGCCTGTCGTGGCCTTGTTGCTATTCGCTTTATTAGGCTGCCCTCATGGCGCGGCTAAAATGAGTTCCTAGATAAGGCGGCCAACAGTTGTCCGCGGCTGGCTGCATCTCCACTAAAAAGCGCGAGAATGCTGGCAGTGCTGAATTTAAGAACCTGGACAATGATCGGGCGGCGGATGCGGTCTTTAGGCGTTTGTTTCTTCTTTTTTCCAGTTCGAATGGCGACGGTTTATTGTGGAAACGGCGATGAAGATCTTCGATTGTAAGTGTGGGGATAGGAGGTGTGGGTTGAGGTCTAGTCGTCGGGTGCGGTGGAGATGTGGCAGGTTGCTGGAGAACAGAGGCGTAGGAATGTCGTTGGCATCGGGGTAGAGAGGTGGCTGTCGGGGTTGGTTGGGTAGGTTGGGTAGGTTGTGGAGGACGGGTGGGTGGTCGCGGGGCTAACGGTTCTGATTCGAGCCTGGCGGGTGGTAGCTCGGCAGGACTTCCAAGGTCGTGTTCCGCTTGGTTCACGGGTATAGGAGCTGTTAGTGCTAGGTGAGGTTTATGTTGCGAATCAGACTGGCGAGCAGTAGTCTGAGTAGAGGGGGGTGCGGGAGAGGACGTGCAGGCGTGATAGGGTAGAAGCGGTAGAAATGGTTTAAGGTCATGGCAAATGACCTGCCATAAGCAATCTGTCTTGTGTATTTTCGATAAATCGCCAGTGAAAACTTCCTGGAGGGCCCCTAGAGGGACCGCATTCTCACAGGCAAAGCAGCAAGCGATGTCGCCTACACCGGCGCGGACTTGATGGTAGAGCCCATTCTGGGCAAGCTGATGAGGCGTGATGCCAGTAAGGAGCTGGCGTTGAAACGAGATTGCTCTGGCTGCGATGGTTGAGTAGGTGGTCGAGATGCGGAAGAGGGGTTTGACGTTGCGGTGTGGGGTGGTTGTTCGGTTGGACGGGAGGGTGGATTCTGCGGGGAGAGGGGCTGCGAAGGGGCTGGGGATGATTTTGAAGGGTTTCTGGTTCCCACCAGGTCCTGGTGGTTGAGACTCCATCTTCCTAGCTTCGCTTCTCGTACCGTACAGGATGGTTCGAAATCAGATTCACCAATTGCACATCCAGTATTACAGATACGAGCAAAACCAGCTTCACCACCCGCACACTCATCAATTGTTCTGGGCCCCACTGCCGAGGCACTAGTCTCACAAAATAAGAGTATAGTTAAAAAGATTACAAGTATTGCCGGGTAATATTGTATGTTAACTGTCGTAATTTTACAACACTTGTTATCCAGCCATAAAGCTAAATTAAATGCCTCGAAAAGAACGAAAGAGAAAGTGGAGGACATACTATCGGTAATATACTGTCCTTTAGGCGATACAAACCCAAAAGCAAAACCAACAGAGAGAATAAATACAACTGGTATGGAGATAACTCGTTCAAAACCAGACGGCCATTATAGCAAAAATTCCGGATGTATTCGCTTACTCAGCGAACTGGACGTGGCAACAGAAGGCGAGTTAAGCCGGCGAGCTCTTGATGATCCCGTATTCGAGCCTTCTGCAGAGGCCTAGCCCCCCTTCCAGTCTCGTCGTTGACGTCACGACCTTTTGCCGCGAGATGAACGTACCGAATGATTATATGATCAGGTTGCGAATCAAGGGGGCATTATTCCAAGCGACAGATATATAAAAGGCTAATTGAATTTCCGTGACTGGCAGTGGTACAGCACTTTCTTATGTCTGCCTCAAACTGCACTTATCGTGCACTGGTCTTCGGTGCCTCCGGTATTACCGGATGGGCCATTGTCCAAGAAGCGCTGAAGTATCCTACCCTGGACACCTTCGCTACAGTCATTGGGCTTACAAATAGACCCTTGACAAAACCAGAAGCGTTGTTTCCTGATGACGAAAGGCTTGAGTTGTACAGCGGTGTTGATCTAAGTAGCGGCGTGCCTGCAATCAAAGCGAAGTTGGAACGAATCAATGGGATTCAGGGCGTGACGCATGTTTACTTTTCTGGTAATTCCTGACGACAATAAGGCTTTGTATACCGGCTTATTCTGCAATTTTAAGCATACACCGGACATGGAACGGGCTATGAGGGGATACTGAAATCGAACGTTGAGATCCTGGAAAACGCCATTCAAGCTGTTGAGGATCTCTGTCCGAATTTACAATTCTGGACATTCCAAACGGGTGGGAAGGTACAACAGTCTTATATTCCTTTTTGGAATCATACAATTAACCTAGCACCTCTAGTCCTATGGTTTTGAATTTGTTGACAAGATTGGGGTTCCAGAAACGCCAATCAAGGAGTCTAACCCCGGATTCCCGAACCCTATGCGTCAAAAATTATGTACTACGCCCAGTATGACGTGCTTGAAAGGCTCTCTAAAGACAAAAGCTGGTCATTTGCAGAAGTTCGACCGGATGGCGTTGTTAGTCAACTCCCATTCCGTCTATTGTCATTCTAGGGATCTAACGCCGCTATCGATAGTCCGGTTTTGTTCCTTCTAACAATGCTATGAACCTTGCTCAAGCGCTTGGTCTGTTCCTTAGCTTCTTCGCCTCCCGCGAAGGCCCCGGTGCGAGGGTGATCTATCCCGGTCCGCAATCCGCCTATACGGCCCCTCACACCGATGTCTCGCAATCCCTCCTCGCACGTTTCCATATCTACGTTTCTCTCCACCCAGATCTCACCGCCCATCAAGCCTTCAATATCGGTGACGAACCGGAAGGAGTGACGTGGGCGGCTCTGTGGCCACGTATTAGCGCGTATTTCGGCCTTGTGGGGGCTGGGCCGATCCATGACAGCCTTCAGGAAGCCTATAATATTGACAAGTATATGCAGACATACCGCACGGAATGGGCTGCGTGGGAGGCTAAGCACGGCTTGAAGAAAGGTGTGATTAAAGGAACAGATTTCACGTTTTTGACAATAATGTTGGGAATGGCGGTGTTTGGACGAGAGTACGATCTGGGAAAGGCACAAGAAATTGGGTTTAGGGAGACGAGGGAAACAGTGGACGGCTACTTGAAGGCTTTTGACTTGATGAAGAATGCGAAGATAATTCCTTGATCATGGTGTCATTTGCTGCAATTTCAGAGCTTATGTTCATCGAGCTGTCGCCTTGCTTTGATTGCTGTATCCTTTCTCTCTCAAACCACGATAAAATCCAGGCTGGTAGCTTAATAGCGAGAACGGCAACTATGCCACGGTAGGGTTTAACGAGGCTCTAAGTTCGTTTCAGATAGTGGTACACTCTACCTGTATATACAAGGATATATATAATTGTGATAGCCTGTATCACGATCCACAAAGTGACAGGCTGGTTGCCTAAGGCACTTTGCTATACTGTCCTACGTAAAGCCTCCATCGCGCGCTGCCCCGCTCTCTCTCTCTTCTTTCCTTCCCCCGTGTTGAATATTTTCGTTCATAGCCACCACTACGAACATTGATGTCTTTCCGTATGACTATCCAGGTTCATCGTGACTGGGCTCGTAACATCAGCTATCAGAGTTCCGCTTATATCACCTAGTCTACATCCATGAATCTAGCTGTGATAAACGGGCTGATTCAGGCAAATGGGCTAGTCTCGCGTGGGGTGGCACCTGTCTAGATTTCCCATTTCCAGCGGGGCCAGCGATACTAGATACTACACGCGTATTCCCAGGAGGGCATTCTTATATCGCAAGTTTTCTAAGGATCGATTAATGCTAGCATGTTCGAGGACTCATTAAAGAGCTCCTCTATCGCTATGGCAGATAGTTAGAACCCAAGTCCGTCCTTGTTATGGATAACGCGTCTTTCCATCATACTAATCGAATAAATGAGCTATGCTTAAATGCCGGAGTCAAGCTACTGTACTTACCACCGTACGCGCCTGATCTAAATCTGATTGAGGAGTTCTTTTCAGAGCTCAAGACGTTTGTCAGAAGGAATTAGCAGAAGTATATAAGGCAAGATTTCAGAGGTTTTCTTGAATGGAGTGTGGATATCGTGAGGGCTCGAGGAGAAAGCGCAGGAGGTCATTTTCGACATGCGGGCGTTGAGGTTAAAGAATTATAAGTGGAAATATATTGCAGAGTGCAACAAGACCTCCATTTGTTTTTGAAAGAGGACAATCTCTGAATTGAGTTACAGTGCCGACCGTTATTGCCTTCGATGTTGGGAAACACAGAGATACTGTTTCAAAACCTCATCACATGATACGCTAAGCTTTATATGGTAACTTCCGTAATTAAAATTTTGTTCCAGGCTTACCTTGCATAAAGGGTGAAAGTATAAAACCGTATAGTCATATACCGTTCCATATCCAAAAATAACCACCTCCCCCACAATAGCGTCGTTCGTTCACACTCACTCCCAAGCTAGCAACTGCAGTCATATAAACCACTTACAAAATGGCTAGAAACATCGATTCCTGGCAGCGTAAGATGATTATTCATATGATATACAGCAAGAACAGACTCGCTACATCGTAAATAGCAAAGGCAGCGCAGTATAGTGTCCGCTCTATCACTAACATACGCAAGAACTTACAGTTATTTGGTAGTACCATATCTCCCCCGTCTCGGTTGATCGACAACCAACTATCGCCCCTTCTATACTCGACACCCTCTGTGACTACCTCGCCGAAAAGCCTGGCCTATACGTCGAAGAGATAGCTATCTTCCTATACGATCAATATATTACTATCGTCATCTAGCATCAAACGTGCTCTTTCGCAGGCTAGCTAGACAAAAAAGAAAGCACAACAGAAAGCCAAAGAACAGAACCTTTATCTATAAGATTTTTACCAGCATAAGATATCTATGTGTCGGTCATATCATCTTGTATTTGTTAATAAATCCGGATCTAATAAAAGGGTGGGATATAGGCTAACTGGATAGTCACCACTCGGCGTGACACCGGTCTAAGTGTCGAAATTTCATCACGGCCAACGCTTCCAGATACTACCTACCTATACTCAAGACGGTATCATTCTGTCTCGTATTTTCAAAGGTTCAACTAATACCACGTTCTTCGAATCGTTTATCTAGTAGCTTCACCAACATCATAGGAGGTGGCCGGAGCCAAAATCCGGGCTTATTATAGATAACGTATCTTTCTATCATTCAGACAGAATTAAGCAGTTATGTGCTAACGCAGGAGTCAAATGATTGTACCTACCGTCTTACTCTCCGGTTTTCAACCCCATCGAGGAGTTCTTTGCCGAGCTAAAGGCTTATATCAAGAAAGCTTGGTCAGCATACGAAGAGAATCTTGACCAGAGGTTTCATGCCTTCCCCGGCGGCGTGTTCATGAGCGCCGAAGGCCATTTCCGACATGCAAGTATAAGGATAGAAATGACATGAGAAGCTGCCGTAGTCAAATGCTATGTAGGTGCAACAAAGACCATAAGCCGGGTTGCATACACGTACGTTCAAAATCGTGCTAGTTTGCGTATAGTAGGTGTAAGGAGCGCTTGGGTAGTTATATGCAGCCACCCGTCTCGGCTGGTGACGCGACTGACTAACGATTACGACACGGGGATATACGATTTAGGCAGTGTCAATATATTAGTGACTATCGTATATGGAGGGAGGCGTAAGCTCACAAGTTTGTGTTTCAAAAGTAATTAGGGGCGTGCGGAGCGGTCAGCAGGGATCCACAGTAAGCAACTTGCGTACAATCGCCGGAATTAGTGTGAAAGATTACAATGCTAACCGGCGTATAACATTTACCCGGCGTTTTCCAACGTCTTGAGCTCTTGAGAGCCTGCTAGCCAGGAAATGTCATGATTGTAGTAATAGTACGCCCCTTGTCGAGAATCAGTTCCTATTGACCGCCTTGAATGGTGCCCACATACAAAGGGGGTTGGAATCAGCGGATCAACATTATCGAAGCTGATATATGCCTCGGTGACCTGAAAAGGTGGTAGTGAGGGACCGGTGGACGATGCATAAGTGTAGGGAAGATTGTCAAGAACCAAAAAAACCCAGTCTATTAGAACTGGCTATGACGATTTACCATTGGTAATTTCCGTGTCCTCTATACATTAAAATTTAAACTGAAACGATTAGAGGATATTGGTTAAAGTGACCCAGCAAAAGTTTTAACAACACCGGCCCCACATCACCTTATTGAATAATATTCTGCCGGTCAAAATATCCGTCCAAGATTAACTATGTAGCTATTCTGCATACTATTCATGCCAGAAACTTGCTTACTGACTTAAAATTACCCTCTCTATCTTAGAATAAATTTCAAAGCGGTGACCCAGAAACTTTAGGCGCCTTATCCCATGATATTTTGCGCAAATTTGGTAGGCGGTAGAGCCTTGATACGGGCGGTGTGATGGTGGGTCCCAGGGCGTTGTTAACACTTTTGCTGTGTCACTGTAAGATCTTTGCCGCAACGAGAAGAAACCCCACTCCTAAGTCCACGGGAGACCGGAGTTAAGAGCATTGATGACAGGGTAGATGATGACATATACATACATCATCTGATTGATGTGGAGTTTGAATCATTTTTGGTCCAAGCAAAACTCCCATATAAATTATATATTTGAATTCTCAAATTCCCCTACATGCCGGCTCAAAGTTCGATCTTTGCAATCGCTTGAAGTACATTTCCTACCCGACGAAATGGATAATGATCCAAAAAAAGGTTCTGGGTCGCTACCGCCAGTTGGCCCCCTCTGCCTCAGTTCGAGTTTCGCCATTATGCTTGGGCACAATGACATTCGGCGGGAGGCACCCCGAGAAATACGGTGAATGCAGCAAAGAAGAGGCCTTTGCCATGATGGATTTCTTCTACGACAATGGTGGCAACTTCTTCGACACAGCAAATTCTTATCAAGACGGCCAGTCCGAGGCCTGGCTTGGCGAATGGATGGCCTCCCGCAAGAATCGCGACGAGCTTGTGATAGCCACCAAGTATACCTCCGGGTATATGTTGCACTGCCAAGACAAGATCCAAGCCAACTTCGTCGGCACGGGAACCAAGTCCATGAACCATTCAATCAATGAATCTCTGCGTAAGCTTCAGACCACTTACATCGATCTGTTCTATGTGCACTGGTGGGACTACACAACCTCGATTCCGGAATTGATGCAGAGCCTCAACCACTTAGTTGTGTCAGGGAAGGTGCATTACCTCGGGATCTCGGATACACCTGCCTGGGTCGTGACCAAGGCGAACGCGTACGCCCGTCAGCATGGCCTGCGGCAATTCTCGGTGTATCAAGGAAAGTGGAATGCCGCGAGGCGAGACCATGAACGAGATATCATTCCCATGTGCGCCGACGAAGGGATGGGTCTGGCCCCGTACGCGACATTGAACGCTGGTAATTTTCAGACGGCTGAAGGTTACAAGGCCCGCGAGAAATCAAATAATGGCCGCAAATTCATCCCGGTCTGCGCACGGGATAAGCAAGTCGCCGCCATTCTGGAGAAAATCGCTAACAGAAAGGGTGGAGGTGTGACGCTGTTGAATATCGCGCTGGCTTATATCTGTCATAAAGCACCTTATGTCTTCCCAATTGTTGGTGGTCGAAGTGTCGACCATCTGAAAGGCAGCATTCCTGGTTTGGCCGTCTCACTCTCGAACGATGAAATTGAGGAGATTGAAACCGGTTATGAATTTGATCATGGATTCCCTCATAGCTTTTTAAGCGGCACTTTGTTCGACCATTCCCACCCACGAGGGGCTGCCGGCCCTGAGGATGTGTGGTTGACCAGGCCATGTGGAACTTTTGACTGGGTTGAGCGTCCGAAACCGATTAAGCCTAACCCGTCGACATATATGTTGGAAAGTTTGAATCGCGATTGATTTTCTTCTCACGTACTCCGTTATACTGGCTCCATATCTAGCTCGTTGCCAGTAATCCGTGGACCACCATTTGGGCTCGAATTTGAATATCGCTCTTGGCAGTCGTGGGGATACCAGCTTTTGACAGACACTGGTAACTTGTGAAAGGCGCGTCTGCGAAGATAATACATGGAAATAAAGAATCACAATCTCCTATCTGGGTTAGCTCTCTTCTAAGCACTGTCACGGCGCTCAAGTGAGTAAAACCGAGTGCGGACGAACGCTGTATGCGTGGCTAAGGAGAGGAGGTGGCCAGCGAGCTTGCCAGATCGCCAGGCCTTCTACTCAGTCCGGACCATTCGCAAAAGGTTCCATAAAGACTTACTGTACTCCTTACATACAGTAACTACGCGAAAGTTCGTGACACCCTGTCGGGACCCACTCCCAGACCGCCTGGGATAGTGAATTCCGATCGAGTGTATATGTGATGATGATACGACCATGAGTAAATTAGGACCAAGAGTGGGTCTGAATGACAAATTGTGGAAGTGGGTCGACGTTTCGCGGACATATCAGAACATCCTAAGTCAGGTAAACGGACAAATGAGAGAGGGGACGTGCATTTTAAACGTGCGGAACCAAAGCAGATCATTTCCGGACATTGACGCTACATCAGACATTCAACTGGAGGGGCCTTCAAGAGGCTGTATTAACTTCGAACTTCTCCGAGAGCCAACCCGAGTCTGAATACGAAGCAGAAGAGGCCCATCATATAGACAAAGTATTATTAGATGCATACCATTGAATGCGCTTTCAGTTGCATATATTCCATATAGCCAGCGATATCTCGGTTAGGAATACGGAAAGTCTTATCGACAAGGCATTGCTCTGTCCCCGGGTAGAATATAACTCAAGCTGTACTCCTGCCGTGGTTGGTAATCTAACTGCGGATCTGGTGATTTATATTTTGTTGGAGGAACTCGTAACTTGGTTGGTTCCAGGTCCGTGTCCGTGGCGCACAATCGGAACACGCATTGGGCGGGTAGGTCCCTGCACATCACCCCGTGACTGCGGGCAACCCGACCAAGATAACCAGATTCCTGATTTGTCTAAGCATTTGTCGTGATTTCCTTATTAGATAAGTTTGACTGTGCTCGAGTTAGTGCGATCACGGGCTGCAGACGAATCAATGAAGTGGGCGCTGCATCTCTATCACCAACAGCGCCAAAGCAGTGGTCACGGTTAGTCGAACCTCTTTTTACCCCTGTTCGTTCGTTTTGGCCGAGAGCCTGCCATGTAGAGAAACTCGCACTAAAATAAACACTTAAAGATTGTATATCTTGGACATTTCTTACACGCTGTATGTTTAGTACGCTGGTTAAACTGCTGGACCGTAGAAGAAGTAATTCACCACTAGACTTGTGAGAGATAAACACAGACAAGGGTCTGTCTGTGTGAGCTACACACACAAATCGAGTCAAGAGTTTATTTTATTGAAACAGACGGGTCATTAGTCGTGATTGATTGTGTCGTTGTATATACCTTCAACAGGTTGTGTAATTAAGCAGTAAACGGCTTGCGTAATTAAGAGTCTGTTCAATGGGATAACTTGGATAACTTCGATAACTTCGACGTCCATTTGAGCTTGACTCTTACGCAGGACCATCATTTTCACTCCAATAGGCTGCAATCCACTAATTGGACGGCGACCTCAATTCTTACCCCTTTAGCCCTATAGTTACATTGGTTGGACAGATGTTAGAAACTCCATTCTCTGTAGCGGCCCACAGCTCACACGTTCAAGACGGCGGCAGGGGTGCTGTTTATTTATGAGGTGCATGCGAAATACAGTAACAGGCCGAGGCGCCAAGGAATGAAACTCTGTTTTTCCCTTCTCTGGATCGACCGTGCCCAGGCCCGCACTCGATCCAGAGTGGGTCTTCAATGACAAATTGCCCAAGTGGGCCGCCGTTCGCATGAGCATATTAGGACATCAAAAGATAAACAGGCGAGGGAGGGTTACTTCATTTTGAACGCCCAGAGCCAAAAAGAATCCATTTGAGATGTTGGTGGCGTAGCGAAAACTGTCGACACGACGGGCACTCATACAGCTACATTTGACTTTGAGTTTCTCCGAGACGTCTCCCCTATACTCCACACCGCAGCCAAGGTCAATACCGTTGGTAAGTGTTAGATCCCTGGGAGTGATCTTTCTGACTGGTGACCTCAGTTGGCCGTACACAAGTCCTGCCGTTTCAATCTGATTCCTGCCGACGCCGTGCGAGCGAAAGGAATTCTTCAGTATCTGTCCGATTCACCATACAACTGCAAATTTGCAAGGCGAAACGATGAAGTGGACAGGAAAATTCGAGCGGCCCCGGAGCTATGTAGAGGATGCCCCGAGACAGTCACAAGCGGCAGTATTCTTGCGGGGTCTACGAAGGGAGAGAAGACGACTTCTACGGCAGCTCAAGCAGATTCGCGTGCAAGTCGGGGATCTCAGAAGCAGAGTGCAGGGTTTTACGCCACCAGGCCATCAAAGTCATGGCCCTCAGAATTTTACTTGAATCTCCGATCAAGAAGTCCACTAGCGTGTCCGATGGGATCTCTTGAGGCTATCCTTCTGTGCGGGCATTTGAGACCATGCCGAATCTGTTGCTGGGGCGTTTATGATGCTCATCAGGAGTTCTCAGCCCATGAAGCAGAAATATCGACGGTGATTGGACCTTTCATAGTCCTAACCACTTCTCATGAAGATCTACTTAGTAAATTACAGTTAATACGGAAACACTATTACAGTAACAGAGGATTGCTGGCATGATCGTCAGTGGTCCAGTCACTCTCTGTTAGAACGTGCAAAACAGGGTTGAGATCATCGCTCACTAAGATTGTTGAACGTTTTGTAGTTTGGCTGGCGGAATCTCAAAAGCTAGTAAATAAATTACCCGCACTCGCACCTCGAGCAACCTTCTGGCAAGGATTTCTTCTTTGCAAAGATTCGATCAACCTTTGATCTTTCGTCAGATCCCCTATCACCATGCCAAAAGAAGCGACAACTTCGAGGAACCCAATGGTACCGCCCCAACGCGGTTCGCCGGTCGACAGGTACACAAATGCAGGTGGCATTATGTCATGCTTTGGATGGTATGGTTGGACCGTTGGTTATTGCAAAAGACTGCCTCACTATCGGCATGAGACGGAAGTACTTCGTGTTATCTCCAAGAGTATGTTAGCTCTCTGTGCTGTATGCTGGTTGAGTAAGACTATCTATATTACCCCTGTAGGCTTTATGATGAAATCCTTTGCTAAATAGTATTCAAAGACTTTGAAATGCCTTAGCTTTTTCCATCACCCGAAGCGTGCAGGAAAATTCAGTCGCTAGCTAACATTGTAGATCGCATTAAATAAGGCGTCTTTGCTCACAGACCCATGCTATGCGCATGGCTAATTAGAGTTACTGACACTATCTCGAATCGGCGATAGAAGGGTATTTGATATGTCATATTCAAAGGGGAATCGTCAAAGGACCCGCCTGTAATGCACTCGAACCAATGTCTACCACGTATGCGGGCTGCGTCATCCCGTCTAAAATCGGAAGTATCTATTATTTGGCATAACTGTATCTGGATGAGGGAGAATAGACTGCAAGCTAGCTTCCTAAGTCTTCAAATTGTGGATTACTGGCAGTCTTGGCGTTGGAAGCTCTTTCCTGGGCTGAGATCGGACTGTGCACCTGCGGCCATTTCTCATCGTTAGGTACAGTAGTTTTCAACATCAGTTTCTTGTGACTTCCTTCCTGGAGAATAGTTCCTGGATGCGCTTAACCGCCTTGGGATACTGCTTTGTAATTCTGGCAGAATAACTACTAACTTAGCTGTAATGGCTGTGGTTACCAAGCTGTAACAACAGAATGAGTCATCGTCAAAACATCGTAACGCCCCATGGAATCTCGCCAGAGAAAGCCAGCAATAACATTATATTTCCCAGTCCATTAAGAGTACAACAACATTATCCCACCACTAACAACCAAAACAACATCATGGTTCTATTTCTGAATATGATATGACGTGAGAAAATGAAAGACTGGGAGCATCACATGCCAATCAGGCCGTGAACCAGGAGATTTTTTTCTCTGATCTCGATCACACGCTGCTTCAGTTCGGTTACGTCCCAGTTGGACCAAAGAAATCTGCCTTTGAGATTATCTGCCTCCTTGGAAACAGCTAACCACACACAAAAAGACCCAGGGAGTCCTAGAAGAATGTCAGTCTGGAGATCTGCCTGTTGAGGACAAAGAACATACCAATGTCATCCGACGCAGCAATATCCCCAGCTTTGGCCTGCATCTCAGTTGCAATAGCGCCTGGGTTGATGTTGAAGACCCGTAAATGAGGATTTTCATGTTGAACATATTCAACTATCTTTGCAAGACCAAGCTTCGAAGCTGAGTACGCTGAATAGCCTGGGATATAAGGCATATGCCCGGCTCCAGATCCGATATTGATGATCGTGTCACCAACCTGAATAGGATGGTTGAGAAATTGTTGAATAACTATTAAACCTCCTTTAACATTCACCTCGAAGGTCTTCCAATAGTCATCGAGATTCGAACTGGAAACAGAGCGATGCCCATCCAGATACCCCGCATTCTGTATCAAAACATCAATATGGCCAAATGCTTCAATGGCCAGTTTGAAAGCAGATGCAACAGCCTTCATATCCGTTACATCAGCTTCGGCATGACGAACGACGGTTGGATCATCAGCAGACTCAGTCAGCTTGGCAATCTCCATGACCGCGTCTAGCAAATCCGACTTAGTTCTTCCAACAAGGAATATGCCTCTGGCTCCAGCAACAGCAAATGACTTGGCAACCGCGCGACCAATGCCTCGGCCACCTCCGGTGATAAAGATGACTTTACCCTTGCAGGACAATTCCGGGTTGCTCTCCGAAATCGCAGGGTAGGTGGCGTGATGATATGTAGGCACAAAAGTTGTCTTAAACGAAGCCATGACTGCTAGCAATGTTGGAGAAAACTCACACTCACTTGATGATATAATGGTTTTGTGCAAAAAGAAGATTGAATATTTCCCGAAGGACGTGACCTCATATATGGTCATCCCGTTAGATCAAATGCATGACAGGTCGACTCGGACCCTCTCGTTCTGCTTCCGCAGATGATGCACATCGTCTTCCAAGTCGCTGCTCCGCCTGATACTGGTTAGCTTGATACGGATACAGCTGCGGAAGACCCATCTGCGGAAGACCCAGCTGCGGAAGACCCAGCTGCGATTCAATTGGATATTCATGTGATACTCCTGCTTACATCACATCGGCCTACACTCCTCAGGTGGTGTGCCAATCAGCCAATCATCTCATCGAGTGGTGGCTGGTAACCAGTGACTGACGAGTACCGTGTTTTACTTGCCAGCCTAAGATGCGCTACACCCATGATGCTCTGATGTTTTAGTCTTCTTAAATAATGCAACACCAAATCAATCCATTAAATATTGTCGGTCCCTCGCTACATACCTATCGATAGAAAAGACAATATGAAGACATCCAGCGTATCCCATGTCATTAAATATACGAAGACCCTGAGTCGGAGCGACTCGGATCCATGACTGAGATACTTCACCAATCCAAAGCATCTCGTTGCCACAAAAATCACTTCGCGGAGATGCATCTCTCCAAACTACTACTGTGACGATACAGAAGGTGTTCTTGGTGATTCAGCCGTGCCGTAATTACGACTAACATCTCCTTCACATACTGTATGTATGGGGTTCCAGTATGGTAACTCGAATACTTGGTTACACCGCCTAGGGAGACGGCTCAGCCTGCCCCTCTTCCTTATTGTTTTCCCCTCTTTTCTTCTTAATCAACTAATCGGATACTTTAGATGATTCTGGTAGTCCTCATTCGTCGTCATGTTTACTAGTTCGCACGCTTTTAGCTGGTTCTCACAGGTCACCAATAAATGGTAATTTATGAAAGTGGCCGGTTAGGGGGTATCGTATTTGACCCGTCTCCTCCTCTTGCCAAGATTTCTTTTTGCGGAGCCCGCCTAACGAGACCCACCATGAATATATTGAGGAACTCACGGTGGGGAGGCTTCTGTCCGCTCTTGCCCGCTTTTTTCCGCCCCGGTCCGTGTCCGGGCAAGTGGGGCTCTGGAGTGATGGCGTACGGTCTTTTCTGTTGTTCTGACCCGGTTGCTCCTGATGTCCCATCGTAGTCTGCCGTCCGCATATTGCCGCCTCTTATTAGTCTGAGCGACCTCGTCCAGGGCTTGCCATGCCACCTCGTCACGCGATACAGGCATGTCGCGCCTGTCGGTAAGATAAGCGCTCCACATGCCCTTATGACGTGGCTGACAATGGGGTGTTTAGACACCTCAAAAGAAAGTGCATGCGGGAGCTGCCGTCGTGCTCCCTTGTAAGTACCTAGACCGCAACACTCCGGTGATCATGGCCACGCTGATAATGAGCCCTGGTGACAGTGCGTAAGGCTGCACAAGACATGCGAGTACTACCCAGAACACCTGGGGAGCGAAGCGGCGGCATGGGATCCAACGAGTCGCACCGGGCGGCTAAAGCATCTTGAGCGGCTGGTACATGTCAACGAAGATGGGCCAGCGCCAGGCACACTTCCTGATACTCAGTCCAGGTTCCAACCGGTTCTTAATGATCGCTTTCCGACCTCTTACTTTTTAGACCCGGATCACTTTGTACCGCTTGGCTTAGGATCACTTTCTTCACCGGCGCCACCATTCATACAGCACGCATGGAGCCTTGTGCGGAATCACTGGCAAGAAACGTGCGAGACATACCTCGCGGCCATCCAACCATGGCTGCCTATGCTGAGCAGGAAACGCCTCTACAGCGGCTTGGCCACTCTCACAGTCAATCAAACGGCGGACGACGTGCTCCTCATCTTGTGCATGAGGCTGTGCACACAGAGTAAGCAGGAAATGGGTAGCGACAAGCAGCTCGAAACCAACATCTACAGCGCGGCTAAGCAGTGCTGCTTCTACGCAGAGGCAGGGGGTTTTGTTTCCCTGCGACTTGTTCAATCACTTGTCCTCCTGGCTGTGTATGAACTCGGCAACGCAATATATCCCGCGGCTTATCTCACAATTGGACGGGCCTCACGATTATCCAGCATGATTGGCATGCACAGTCGAAAGAAGGCGCGGCAACTATTCGTCGACCCCGACACCTGGTCTCTACGCGAGGAGCAACGACGTACGTGGTGGGCTGTCTTTGTGCTCGACCGGTAAGTCGCCCACGATTCAACCGTGCCGTTACTAAAATCGTGTGACAGTATCATATCGGCGGGTACAGAAGGGTTGGCCGTTGCTGCCCCGGCACCCGGCTCCGACTGCCTTCTCCCCTGCACCGACGTTGATTGGGATCAAGGAAACATCAGCACAAACGAGCCTCTTCTCGCCGAATCGTTTAATGTAGGAGTGTCGCTTGGCTCCTTCGCTCGGACATGCCAGGCCGCGCACATGCTAGACAAGGTCCTAGCGCACGTCGGCCGGCGCAAGAACGACGTCGGCCAGGACGCGACGGAGGTGCTTGTCGAGGCGATACAGCTGCACACAGCTCTCCAGGCTCTTGACGCGAGCCTCATATTTCCAGAAATGCCTACCAAGGACTGGTATCTGAGCCCAGAGACGCCGATGCCGGCCCGGGGGGCGAAGACGGACGTCATCAGTGCGCTATGGCACTGTGCTGCTCCGCAAGGTTCTTGCTCTACAGCGAATACGGTTGCAGCGATTTCAACGCGAGAACTCCGAGCTGTGAGCGCGTAGCGCTGGAATCGGAGGCGCAGGGGATCGCAATCCGGGAAATCGAGCACCTAGCCGCCATAACAGTCCCGAGGCTGGCGCGAGCGGTCGTACAGACTTCTGCGGCTGTTGTGACGAGGCAGACTATCAACCCGCTGCTGGGGCACTGCATGTATTACGCGGCGACGGAATGTGCGTGCTTCATTAAGGAGAGCCACATAAGCGACATGCACGCGGCACTCACTCACATTGTCCAAGGACTAAAGGCGGTCCAATCGGAGTGGGAAGTAGGTGGTATGCGTCGCTTTTACTTACTTATTTTTTCCATCTTACACCATGGCTAACTCTGAACAGGGCGGTATCTGTCGTTGCTTGAGAAAGCCGAAGTTCTGAAATTGGTGGACGAAGGAACGGTGTGTAGCGCGGAGTACTAAAAATATAGTTATCGAGACTCTGTACCAATTGAATCTGCTGATGTTCCATGCCGCAGACTTTGTCGACGGCAGCGGACTAACACGTTGCAGCTGATCCGAGACGCCACGGCTCTGAACTCTCAGCGACGTGATGTTAAGGTCCTAAACGAAACGAGAACATACTTCATATATTTCCTTCAATAAATGCGTTGAACCCTCCAATGTCAGGACGAGACCTGGTTACTTGCAACAGCAGGGCCAATATCCGGCGAAGGTGGTATGTGAGTGGTAGACGATGAGGGTGGATACCGGCCACCTGATATTAAAACGTCGACACCGATCCTCCAGACAGGAGCATAGCAAGAGCTTTGTCGGCCGACCTGGGTAACATTTTAACGGACTGGACATAACGCGAGTGCTACCGGCTAGTGAGGATGTTCTTGTAGGTGACGTTAATGTCCCGAGGCCGCTCCCATGATCGACAGGCTCTGGCCAGCCTCACCGGTGACACGCTCACAAGGACCCATGCCGCACCACTCTTCACCACGTTTATGGTTATTCAGAGGACCATAAGGCGCCGTTCTCCGTCGTGCCGACTTGCCACACTCCTCCTTCCTCGCCCTTTGGTTACTGGGGTCCGCTTCAAGTGTCTGTCAATAAATCAATCCCTGCCGAGCATAAATGCTTCTTATTTGCCGGCAAGGCACCATGACGGAAGGAGTGGATGTCCCACCGAGTTGGTGTCGCAGCGGGCTGGGAAGCGGTCCCGTCGTTGAGCCCCACTGTCCGTTACGGACAGGAGCGGACAGGTCCGCTCAATATACTTCGAGTCCGCGCGGGTGATAATTTTGGCTTCAAAAGCGTGCAAGTGGATCACGGCAATACGCAATACCGAGCAGCAGATAAGTACGTAGTGATGACACATCGCTAGCATATCATTGCCAATATATAATGCCTCCCCCCGAACTGTAAAGAAGTAATTATTATTTATCTCGTGACCAGCTCACCAGACTCATACCGTAAAGATACATGGTCCATTCTTCGACTTAACGCCACAATGAGTCTTCCTAACCTTCAACAATTCCACAAGAAACCCTATCCAGCCATATCTCCCAGTCGCCCAGAGCTGAGTCAGGAGGGAAGAACAGTTGTGATAACAGGAGGCAATAGCGGTATCGGATACGCCATCGCTCGAGGTTTTATCACTGCTAACGCCAAATGCGTTATTATTATCGGCCGCCGCCCTACTGTCGTAGATTCTGCAGTTGTCCGACTTGTGGAGGAGGCGAAACAAGTAGGGTCAAAGAGCACAGTTCAGGGCCGCATCTGCGACATTTCGGACTTGGCGTCAGCAGCTGCGTTTTGGACCGGACTTCAAAATGACGACATCCATGCGGATGTCCTTGTTCTGAACGCTGCGACATCTGGACCGGCTGCCCCGATTCTGGAATCTGGCTTAGATGGCGTTTGGGCGACATTCGAAGCGAATGTGCGGTCCACATTGGATTTTACCATACGCTTCTATCAGCAAAGTGTTCCAGCTTCGCAGAAGGTTAGTTAAAGCTGAGCCGAGGAGCTGAATAGGTCATGATGCGAATATGCTCACTTTCGATGCAGGGAATGTTTCTGGTAAACGTGTCCTCGTGCGCAGGCTATATGTGGAACACGATGGCACCAGAGCGACCCTCGTACGCTATGACCAAAAATGCAAGTACTCTTCTCATCCAGCAGATCGCCAAAGATACTATCCCCGACGATATGCAAATTATTAGCTTTCATCCTGGTGCGATTGCGACGGAAGAAGTTACTCGTCGAATGGGTTCGGATGCAAGCATGAATGTGCCATTTGATGACGGTACGTCCAGTTATAATTACCTAACGCTCCTGAGCGGCAAGATAATTCGGAATCCATTCATGGGTTGACCTTTGTGCAGAGAATCTTGCTGGTCACTTCGCTGTATGGGCTGCCAGTATGGAAGCCCGATTTTTGCATGGCCGGTTTGTCTGGGCCAACTGGGATATCGAAGAGATTAAATCAGGGGATGTTGGGAAGCATATTGCAAAGGATGCGAACTTCTTGAAAGTTGGTATTGAGGGTTTGTCTGAATCTATGGGCTCTCCGATGCTCAGTTCTGAGCAGGTTGAAGCCGTGTCGGCCATGTTACAGGAAAGGCGCCGTAAGACTTGATCTTGATGTCATAAAGCCCGAAGCAAATGAGCTCGAAGGAAATAGAGATTGGGATCAAATGAGTGTATGGTTCAAAGCTTTGTTTCTAGCTCTTTGAGTATTCATCTGTAGAGCCGAAAGTCCGTTTGGCATAGGTAAAATCCGTACGCTAAATTCTTGTTGCAAGAATAATGAGTTGCTCTACAACATGGTCATTAAGGCGACGAAGAGGCAATTGCAGTGCTGATGAGCATATTGTGAATCTCTAGATCGTTCAAGAGGCGTAAATGCATTTAGAGCATCGGGAACATTAAGGATTTTGCTCTCACGCTCCTCCTAATGGATTCTGTGTTGGCCGGGCATTTGCACAGCTCAAGTGGCGATATGCCCTCCGACTATCAGCGTGAGTTGCTTGAGTTGGATAGAGATATTGGCTCTTAGCTAGGCACTTCATGGTAGTGGCGATTGCCACGTACCGTGATATGCTGTACTAAATCTATGGAGTTTCTTCAAATCAAACTGAGAAACTTGTTTTCCTTGGGTGTAACTGGTACGACGCTGTGAGATCTGGCCTAAGAGTGACGCAAAAATCGAAGATTCGACTGCGAGAAAAACTTGTGCTGAATCTATAGCGTAGGTGCCGACCCAGCGGCCAGATTCTGTCCGCTTTTCGGTCCGTTTGGGTTGATAATTGGAGCTGATGCCGGGGTTTTCTTTAAAGGCAAAAGAGAACAGAATTCACGGAAAGTCGGCATAGACAGCATAGTTTGGAATTTATATTTAAATCAGATCGAGCGCCTGTTGAATTGATTTGTATCCGTTATCTCTTGTCTCTCCTACCGATCTGTCTCGGAACATCGTTTTCCTCTTAATTTGCCAGCACTAGTCAAGATGCTCTCCGAGCAAAATATACTTCCATCTGAGGCAATCCTCGAGAGATATGGCACTCGTCTAGCAGGCAAGACGATTTTCATCACCGGTGTCTCAAAGGACTCCATCGCAGGCGAACTTGCACTGCAGCTGAGCAATGTGAACCCTGCCTTGCTGATCTTGTCTGCGAGGTCAGAGTCTCGTGTCGAGCCCATCGTCGAGAAGATCATCCCAATGTGGCTACTGGATTCCTAAAGATGGATCTCGGCGATCTAAAGGATATCCACAGAGCGGTGAACAGTTTGGACGATATCCCGAAAATCGACCACATTGCTGACCTGGACAGATTAAGTTATGGCCCTCTTCCGCAATGCGGGAGCATCTGAGTAATGAAGCCCTCAAACACGGTGGCATTTGTAGAAGGTGGAAGATATTACAGAGGACAATCCTATCCTAGGCATACGCAGGCAGTATTTGATATTACTGATTACGGTGGAACTGTGTTACTTGCAAAGAAGCTTGGCCAAGTGGTGCCCAACCTATACGTCTGAACCCAACACGTTTATCACATGCAGATTCATCAAAATATAGTAGGTGATACGACTGAAAGTCCGACAGATTGTGCTGGTATCCCATCCGCAACCATGTCGGCAACAATATTGTCAGAAAATAACCCAATGGCGCAGTTTCAAAGGACGAATCCAGCGTCGCCATCCTCTAAACGAAGATACGTGTCGGCGCGACTCACCAGCGGAATGAAGTGGGCGACCTATCCCTGCCTGCTGGCAACAAACTTCTTGTCATACACCCTTTGCTTCTTCTACCCTTTGCATTAGCCTCAATTCAGTGCCGATATAGGGATATCCTTAGTTTCAACGTGTGCTATGCCCTTGTGAGAAGGTGCTCTGACTAGTGGGCAGTCAGGGCGGCACAAACGCATTCCCTAACTCCCGACTGGCCTCCCTTGCAACGTCAGCTGAGTTCACGCCTCAGAGGGTAGCACTGTTCGCACCGTCATCGCCCACGACGAGCACCGCTTGCATGCCAGCAGGGTGTAGTAACGCAAGTACACCTGACTGACCTCATCGGCAAGCTCAAGAAGACCGTGAAACGGCCTTGCATCGCCAACTATAACACTCGGGACCTATTTCCCTGTTAGCAACCAGTTCAGGGCCACGACAGTGAAAGCGTACCGATTCGCATGCGTCCTTCCTCCTCTTGCACACATCGCACAAGATCGAGCGAGACCGGCCGATCTCAGTCTACTCTGAATACGTCTGCATCGGCTATTGGGTCATAACTCTTCAATTCGTTTCGCAGACAATTTTGGAAGAACAGAAAACCTAGTCGCGCAGGAGTGAAAAGCGCTGCTTCTGAAGCTGGTGCCATCTTGGACCCTCGGGTGAATCCGATCTTGGGATGATCTCATTAGTATTGGCATCGAGAGGCTCCCTTTTCTGCTTACAAAATGATGACTTCTGGACGACCAGCGTCCCTCGTCGACTTTGTTGAACTCTTTGGTTTTGTTTCTAAGATGTTATGTAGTTACTGTTCAATATTTCCTTCCATCGAGAGCTAGGTTTTTTACACATTTGTTTTGATTCTACCACGTTTCTCTTTAAAGTCCGGCTTCCGAAAACGTCAATGAGTTATGCTGGTTTAGACCAGCATGAGGTATTGAATTTTTTCTGGTATTAACTAACTTAAATAGTGCACTGGAGAACTTCATGGAACACAACTCCAATATGATGATTTATTGATATGATGTCTCTCGTTTTTCCCCGGCGCCGCGGTCGCTCTGCTCTAATCTTGATCGCTGGACACCTTTTGGTATCTCGACCCGGTGTGCAACGGTGAGCACTTCCTGTTTCACTAGTCAGTTAAGTATCCTTTGCGTCAATAATTTCAGACGGATTTAACCCGCAAAATTTCTTCCGGCTCCGAGGTTAGTATAACACTATGCACACTCCTGTGTAAGCACGTTATTTAGGGATGGGAGCATAGTTACCTTGGACAGGAATCGGTAAGGACACCCAATTCTTCTAGAATCAGCACTCCGAGAGTTAGTTAATATTTGGACATCCCCTTTTTACTACCGTACAACTTAATGATACAGGCTATGGTACAAAAGGGCACTCACAATAAGCTGACAGAAAAAAATAAACAGGGAATGTTATTACGAACAATTGATTATCAATCATCTTAAGAGGTGCGCATAAAATGCGGATTGCCTGTTTCTTCTTTGATTTTCTCGAGATATGGTGAGGTAGAGCTTAGCCTTTGTTGGTTGCATGCATGTGATGAAGTTGATAAGCAAACTGCGAGGCCCGCATTTATGTTCTTCCTCTCGCGGCATTCGTGACCTAGAGGGTAGCCCATACGCCTCTTGCGGAACCGCAGCCACAGCTGCAGGGCATGTAACCCTTCCACTCCGATCTCCCGTGAGACTTCAAGTTCCTCGGTCGTTGAGCTTCGTACTATAACGAACCTGAAGAGCACCCTTTGTCCTCCTCCAGATCTGTTCCGTCATCTGAATCGTAGTTGCTTGCATTTGGTGCAAAGTCTCCTTCTCGAGTTGGGCTCCTAGCATACCCAGTCCTTACATCGGGTTTTTCGCCTTTCATGTTTCGAGTAGATTCATGGCGCAGGCCTAATACATGAGAGTAGCAGATTGCCGCAGTTGCGGAGATTTCGGGACGGAACGATCCGGAGACAAACGTTATGTGGTCAATGGGAGGTAGACTTCATGACGAACGTGTTTACATATATATTTTTACCGTCTACTGGCTGGTCGGTCTACCACCCTCGGCATGCTCCGAGGTAAAGGGCAGGAGTATCGAAATCACTATCGCGCGAAACTCAGCAGAGGCTGCCAGCATTTTTAAGTGGGTGGCAAGCCACCAGTGATAATGTAAAGAGGGGAAGTTTTATAGATACGTAGATGCGGAGTCTTGGGAAATTTGTAATGGAGGTTACATCATGTCAACACTAGCAGTACAACTCTTTACAGCCGCCCATTAAGTACCGCACCACCATCCGTCGCAATGACAGCTCCGTTCAAATGGCTCGAAGCCCGAGAACTCAAAAACACAACCAGACCGGCAATATCTTCTGGACGACCCAGGCGACCATTAGGCGAGCACTCCTGAAAATGCTTCAATCCGCCCTTTAGTTCAATTAGGCCACTGGCCATCTTGGATGGATAGAAGCCTGGGGCAATGGCATTGGTCAGGATATGGCGCGGGCCTAGCTCAACCGCCAAGTTCTTCGCCAGGTGAATTGCAGCTGCCTTAGAAGCGGAATAGCTCGGCGTCGCGTTCTCCCCAACAGTGCCGACGCCAATACCTGCAATAGAAGCAGTAATGACCACTCGCGAGGGCTCATCGCGGGTCGCCTTTGCAGTGAGGAGAGGCGTGAATCTAGATCATTAATACATTAGTTAATACCTTTGTAGATGCTAATAATGGTTCGTCACATACTTCTGAATTGTGTAAAATACGCTCTTGACATTCAAGTCCATAACCCTGGAGAAGGCTGCTTCTGGATGAGTGTCAAACTTCTCGCCCCAGGACGCACCAGCATTCGCGAACAAGATATCGACGTGGTCAGTTGTTTTGCGCACTTCCGCAACTAGACGGTCGAGCTCGTTCATGCGCGAGCTGTCAGCTGGTACGGAGATAGCCTGAGCGCCGGGTCGCTTGTTGGGAAGGGCATTGAGAGCTGTGACGGCATCTTCGCAAGCTACCGTCTTGCGGGATGTGATGTACACCTTCGAGCAGCCGGCCTGAAGGAGCCTGTTATAGCAAGAATAAGAAAAATCAGCAAACGGAATTTGATACAATTGGGTTATGGACCGGAATGAACCCAGAAGCTGCATGCAATCCTAGCCCACGCGAACCACCAGTCACGACAGCAACCTTTCCCTCGACGGAAAAGATGTCGAGGAAGTCGTTGAGTTGAACCTGATCAACGGCGGACATCTTGCTTTGGAAGAATAGTTGACCATTCAGGGGATTGAGAAGACCAAAGGGTGGTCAATTGAAATCAGGGCCGCTGCTGCGCCTTATATATTTGAAGCCGATACCGAGGCTCCCGAATTGCGAACCCCGCAACATTCGGCAATTAATAATTCCACGCATGGGCCTGCCAACTAACTCGCCAGGTTAAACTAATTACAGTTTGATTTGGGTAAGATTTTCTTGCAGCCTCATCATGGGTCATGTATTGAGGGCTTGGCGGTTTCGCTATAATAACGCGCGAAATTACGTGGCAAATCTGACCCCCATATATCCTCTATATAACAGAATGCAAGCCTCCCCAGCAAAGTGCTACCTCTACTGGGCCTGCTATCTGTTGTATGAAAAGATATGTGTGATGGCGACTATCTAGATGCCTGACGTGAAATTCAAATATGTCGCCTTCTGAACAAAATGTCTGGCGCCAAATCAGTCGCATGTAGTCTGCCTTTTCGGCATAACTCTAGTTATCCAAGCCGCGATCTAGGGTCAACTGAATAGCAGCTTAGTATACAAAAATTGTTTCGGCCGTAACGAAGTATGAACTGAATTAGTATTTCTGGCCTTAATTCTAACTCAAATTACAGTCTAGAAACTCAAGTAGAGCAATGAATGAATCAACTCTCTTTTTAAAATACAACCTAGTTAATGTCGATTCCAGAGGACACAGTACACACCAGTACTTGGGATGACCAATTGCATGGTTTGTCTGGGTACTGTGACGTGTTCATTGAAAAGAAAATGATGACTCGACCTCGACCTTGCCCGTTTGGCAGTGCATGCGCTCGTCTTCCTTTGCCCTGCAGGTTTGCTGATTGCAGGCCCAGGCCTTTGTTTCTTTCTTCTTGCAGGTCTATTTAGGCCTTTTCCTTCTTCTTTTCCTTTTTCGTCTTCTTACTCTCCTAGATAGACCAATTTGACTTCGTTCTCCCCTGCTTCCTGTGTGCTTGGTGTCTATGACACCATCAGAAAATATGTTCCGAAGGTTTATTTCACAGCGTTTGTGTCCGGAACCAGTAGTTGTCGCAGAAATGGAAATAATCTGCAGTTGTTAAACAAACGGATCCTGCTAAAATGACACCCCCTTTTGCTATTCGCACAAAAATACCGCGTATTAGGTCTAGCGTGGGCCTTTTTACACAACAATGCGGTGGTGGAGGAGGAATTGCATTCTCACATTATAAACCGCGAGAATTGGACGCGCCTGTGGGGGCTGAGCGAGGCATTGATTGGGGAGAACCTTTCTCTCTGACCAGTCCGGTAAAAAGTCCCCCTGAGTAAGCTTTGGTTAGGATAAATGTCATGTTAAGCCAAATGTTCAGTAAAGCGTATCCTCACGGATTAAGCTTCGCTTATCGGCTTGTTCTCCAACAAGGGGGACAGACACGAAGGCCCCAATCTTTTCAAGCATAAGCAACGTTAAGCAAAGTGGCAAATATATTTCGATCATCTTCGCGCGACCAGATCCTCCAGAATGCGCGTTAATGTGACTATTTTCACTTAGCCTCGCTCCTACAGGATCAGTTGGATATATTTACATGCATACCGGATACATACATGTATGGCTACCATTGCTACTTTCGGCCGATGTTTTACCACGACATTACACCCAGGTCAGAGAAAAAAAGGCTATTTCTACATTTGCATAATCCCCTGCACATTTCGAAAGCTGGCTGGGGTCAGGGCGAGGAAATATGTACATCTTTACGGAGTTGTGAGAGCGAATAAAGGAGCTATTGGGCCAGATCACATCTACGACTTGCCCTTCTCTGATACGGCCCTCTCTACCTGTTTCACCCGCTCCCAAGCTCCGAGAGCAAACGGCTTTGCCCTCTTCGCATAATTGACTGCCCTGGCGCTGCTAGCCTGTCGACCTGCAAATCGGGCCGCAATGCCCTGCATGATCACGGAGCCCCGGAAAGCGAAGAACGCATCACCCCAGAGCAGGTCGACGGCCGGGTTCCAGCCAGCGACCTCGCTGTACCAGCGAATGCAGTCCTCGCGAGAGGGTAAGCCTGGCGTCTTGCCAGGCTGAAACAGGTCGACCTGGTTGTCCACCCCGTCCATAATGTAGGGGCTGGTGAGATTGCAGAAATCTGACAGCGGGTGTCCGACCGTCGCCATCTCCCAATCTAGAATCCCGATCACACGCGGCTCCGTTTTGTGGAAGATAATGTTATCGATCCTGTAGTCGCCGTGTACTAGAGTACCGCGATCCAGCGGCTGGGCGGTCTTGTTCGAGAAGAAACGCACCATGTCATGGACGTGGGGGAGCTCTCCGACGGGCTCTCTGGTGTCTGCGTCTACCACCTGGGCCTGAGCCTTCGAGATGGCGGTTAATGTTGCGATCTGGCGGTCGAAGAATCCGGTCGGTTTGCCGAATGTCTCGAGTCCGACGGACTTGGGGGCCACACAGTGGAATTTGGCCAGAGTCTGCAATGCATCCTTCCATCTTGATTTTTTTATGTTCATGTCAGTACCGTCTCCATTTCATGTGATGATAGTGTGCTCGGCGTCCAGCGCAGTCCTCTCCTCCGCACTCACTCCAGGCATCGATGGGTCCGTGAAATGTCGCCCGTCCAGGAAGTCCATAATATAGAAGGGGGTACCGGTCACGCTGTCATCCCCGCAGAGGCAGTGTACCTCCGGAACAGGAACATCGGTGGATCTCAGAGCACAGATAATCTTGTACTCCCGCTCGACCATGTGTGCTGTTTTCGAGAGTAGCTTGCCAGGAGGCTTTTTGCGGAGAACGACCTTCTTGCCATCAGCGGCGGTAAGCTGGTAGGTAGGGTTGGATTGACCAAAGCCGAACTAAACATCAAATATGTTCGTGGTATGAGGTCAACTAGAGATCCGAGGTCAGCTCGCCTGCTTCACATCCAGAGAAGTCCTGAGGGCTGGAACGTGTTGGTCAATATACCGCTCCAACGAGGAGATGTCTATCGGCTGGCGCACTTGTCCCGCCATGACTGCAAAGGAAACGGCCTAATATGGTCCAACAAGAGTTCATTTGGAGAATAATAATTGAATATATAAGTTTCAGGTGCGAGATCTGCTCTCGACAGCCGGGGAACCTCGGCCCAGTAGACTCTAAACTCCGTCACACACCAAACTCTACGACTTCGCGTCGTATGGGGAAGAGAACTTCGCACCTGTATACAGCTCATCGCCACTATACTGGTACCTGCGGTGTAGAAGATCACTACAAGTCAGTGAGGCGAGACAAAAGTTCATCAAGGGACGATGGATAACGTGTAAGACACGAGACAATCATGTGAAGATAATAGAAATAAATGAGGAACCATGACCATAGGGCCGGGACGGAAGCCATTAGATGGGCTGTTGAACATTATCCATTTGGCCGAGGCTCAACTTTGTTTGCCGAGACACCCTTCAGAAACCCCATAGTTCCTCGGCAGTCCAAATGATATAACATCTTCAATAATACTACTTACACGTTCTCTTCTCATTCCCTTTTTCTCTCTTGGACGGATTTCTCTAGGTTCCCTATTTATCACACTTATATTGATAAGAATGCCTGCCTCATCTCAGATACCTCTGGTCGTTCAGCACTTCGTCAGTGACCGGGCCAAAATGACCCTTGACTTGGTATTTCCCCCTCTATTTCACCCATTTTCTAGTATAATAACCATATCAGGTCGAACAATTTGTCGAAAAAGACTGTATCCCAGCCGAACCCATATTTCGAGCCCAACTCGGACAGGGCGAGCAACGATGGACCAGCAATCCTGCCGTCATGGGCACACTCAAAGCTAAGGCTCGCTCCCTCGGCCTGTGGAACATGTTCCTACCCAAGAACCGCTTCTCTCAGGGCGCTGGCTTCACCAATCTTGAGTATGGTTTGATGGCTGAGTACCTAGGCAAGAGTAAACTGGCCTCGGAGGTAGATTATTCTCATCAGCCCCTTCTCTCTAAGGAGGATTCGGGCCAAGACTAATCGTTAATTCAGGCTACAAATAACGCTGCCCCCGATACTGGTAATATGGAGGTACTGGCCAAATACGGCAATGAAGCCCAGAAGCGCGAATGGCTGGCCCCGTTACTCGAGGGCAAGATCCGCTCAGCCTTCCTCATGACTGAACCGGATGTTGCCTCGAGTGATGCCACCAACATACAGTTGAGCATTCGCCGGGAGGGCAACGAATATGTGCTGAATGGATCGGTATATTTCTCTACCCTATACCCGTATATGTATATGTATATCGATACTAATGGAAAGTGGTAGAAATGGTGGTCCTCCGGCGCTGGTGATCCCCGTTGCCAGGTCTACCTCGTGATGGGTAAATCTGATCTTTCACAGCAGGATCCATACCGCCAGCAATCTGTCATCCTTGTCCCCGCCAACGCTGCTGGCATCACTGTGCATCGCATGTTGTCTGTCTACGGTTATGACGACGCTCCGCACGGCCACGGCCATATCACATTTGAGAACGTGCGCGTCCCCGCCTCCGCCATGGTGCTAGGCGAGGGCCGAGGCTTCGAGATTATCCAGGGCCGTCTAGGCCCCGGCCGCATCCACATTGCCATGCGAACCATTGGTGCCGCGGAAAAGGCCCTCGAGTGGCTGATCGCCCGCATCAATGACGATAGTAGGAAGACCTTCGGGAAGAGCCTGTCGGCCCACGGCGTTATCCTCGAGTGGGTTGCCCGTTCACGGATCGAGATCGATGCCGCCCGTCTCATTGTCCTTAATGCTGCTATCAAGATTGACCAGGGTGACGCCAAGTCTGCTCTCAAGGAGATCGCCCAGGCCAAGGTCCTCGTGCCCCAGACGGCCCTAGCCGTTATCGACCGTGCCATCCAGGCCTATGGCGCGGCTGGTGTCTGCCAGGATACCCCTCTCGCTAACATGTGGGCCATGAGCCGCGCCTTGCGCATTGCCGACGGGCCGGACGAGGTCCATTTGCTGCAGCTTGGCCGTCGCGAGAACCGCGCCCGCAAGGATGCCATCGCCGCGAAGCTGGACTGGCAGCGTGCTGAGGGACAACGTTTGTTGGCGGCTGCCGGATTTATCGCGGCCAAGAGCCATCTGTAGGAGATGATATCACAGATACAGTAATCTCACAGAGCATGAACTTTCTTCAATTCTTCTGCTAAAGCAGCTAGACCCACTGTTTGATAGGGCATTTATCGACCGTGTGATTCCGTCCTCTTGTTACCTCTCTTACGGCAGCTTCGCTGTTTGGTATTGTTATTCCTCTGCCTGTGACCCTTATCTCGCTCTCGTGCCTCGAGCTGCCTGTGTCGACCAGGCTGCCTTGAGCTTCCCCTCTTCACTAGATGCAAAACCTAGCCCTCAACGGAAGGAGTTGTTAAACAGTAAAAACATAACATCTTAGAAACAGACAACCCTTTACTATTGCTTTTGTCAGCTACTCAGTACTCATGTATTTTACCAATAATTACGTGGACTGGTAAACCAAAGTCGATTTACAACATCACTCGTAAGTTTCCATTCAGTAATGAAACATCGTAAAGATACAGATAAAGAATGAAGGTTCGAGAATTTCAGCCTTAGAGATATCAGTGTCAAGACTACGAGGCCAGAAAAAAATACCCAATCTGCACTGGAAAGAGATACCAAATTTGCCATGTCGGCCAGAAGTCTGGATCGCTCACTGTTTTTCGTTTACAGCTCGGGTGTATCAGCGAATGAGTCATCCCACCTGTTGATTGAACAATGTTAATGTGGAATTGAGAGCGGTTTAACGCCAGGAGCACTTACGCAGTATGGTATCTCCCGCCAGAGACACCAGCAGCTTCCACGACTTCTCTGATCCTTCTGTTTTCTTCTGGGGCAAGAGTAATTGATAAAGCCTGAATGTTAGTATCCAGGTTCTTAGGCTTTGTTGTTCCAGGGATTGGGATGATATCATGTCCCTGAGCCAAAAGCCACGCAAGAGTGAGTGCGCTGACACTGACCCCCTTAGCTCTAGCGATGTCCTCTAATGCATCCACGATCTTGAGGTTCCGAGGGAAGTTTTCTGGAGAGAACCGCGGGAGCAAACGACGGATATCTCCTTCAGGGAAATCATCGGGCGATTTAATGTGCGCTGTCAGGAAGCCCCGTCCAAGAGGTGCATAGCAGACCACTGCCACACCAAGTTCACGACACGTGGTCAACAGGCCATTTTGCTCAATGTCGAGGCTGAAAGGATTGTATTCGATTTGGACTGCTGCAATATGGTGGACCATGCAACTGAGGTCATACTATGGTCAAAAAAGTCTTGGGATTTGCAAAATTTGAGTTGGTTCTCACTCACGCGCGACGGAGAGTGCTTGCAGAGCACTCTGACAGTCCCAAGTACCTGATCTTGCCCTGGTTCTTCAGCTCCACCATAGCAGCAACAGTCTTCTCGATCGGAGTGACCTTATCCAAGCGGTGGATGTAATACAGATCGACAGAGTCAAGACCTAGTCTCTTCAGACTTCTATCACAAGCCCCTTTGATGTACTCAGGATCGCTCCGAACGAGAGCTTTGCCTTCGTCGTCGACACCGGCACCGCCCTTTGTCGCAAGAAAGATCTCACTCCGTTTCCCGGTTTTGGCGAACCATTTCCCAAGGAGATCTTCGCTATCTCCGTACACGTCTGAAGTATCCCAGTTGAGTATGCCGCTGGTGTAGACATAGTCTAGGAACTGCAGGCGTTCCTCATCGGGTGCAGCGGGTGCATAGAACGCGGAGAGCCCCATGGCACCGTATCCCAGAGCTGTGATCTGGGGACCATTTTTTCCAAGTTGACGAGTGGGAAGGTTAGGAGCCATGTTGTTCTTCGGCAGTGAGCAAAGAAGTCAAGCACTGGTTGATTCAGAGGAGTCTTACTGCAAGCAGACGTTTTCGGCCCGACGAGGTGACCTTTTGAGGGACGGAACGGGTGAAATGGTGAAACAATGACACACTACTCCGGTCGAGTATCAAGCAGTAAAGTTAACTACTCTTGAAGGTGCGTGGTTGAACAGCAGGCTAGTCTACTGGATTCAACAATTCAATTGAGAAGGAAGGAAGAAGGAAGGTTATCAAGTCTGGCCTTGCAATCTTACAATCTTAAAATCTTGCAGTCTTGCAGTCTTTCTAACTAGGAAACATGACAATCTTTATAGGAAAGAGAATGTTAGGATTCTCTTCAATAATCGTTGAGGATCAACATGTCGGTCAATCGCATTGATCCAATTACCCCGCTGTGGGCAACCATACATGCATGTAGGCAGTGGGTCTACACACACATGCTAACACCTTTTTATACTAACTAATCTCTTTTCTGCCCTTTTTCAATTCGTCAGTATCGTCAGTATACGTATTCCTCTAAACTATCAACGCTGGTCATGGTAGCTGGTTACAATGGACCTATGGATCCCGGTAATTACAGCTGGTGGACCCAGTCTTGGCAAACTATATCCTTAGCCGAATTAGGTAATGTTGAAAGTGGCTTACGCGAGCACATAAGCAACGACAGCTACCTGATTAGTACGGGGTAGCTAATCTCAGCGACTTTACATACTTAGTAAATATGGATCTAAAGTGGCCGGGCAAAGCAGAATAAAGAAGTCAAGCACTGGTTGATTCGTGTCTGGTTGCAAGCGGATATATTTATTCACTAAAAGTGCCCCAGGAGTTTATTTGTATATCCTCTCATTTCTACACTTTCCAGTGCATCAGCATACTGATGCCTCTGAATTACTAACACCAGTTATGGTAGTTTGGCTGCCATGGATCTACGGATCTGAGTATTCCGGTAGCAGTCTTGGCAACCAATACGCTGCACCTAATTCGGCAATTTGGATAGTGGCTTACGCGGGCATAATGTATTTCCTAGGTCTAGATCGTCGAACTTAAAGGTCCAATCCAGGCAATCATCCAGTCTGCCGTATAGCGTTTTCGGCGCTTGCCTAGATGGGAGGAGTTAGATACCGCTATTGATAGAGGAAAGGTGGATTTACGACTCTCTCTTAGTCAAACGATTCTGCAATCTCTTCCTTATTTTCGGATCGGTAATCCCGGTCCAATCATCCCCCGTTTGATGACATCGTTCTAACCGCTTTGGGGAAGCCCCATAGCTTCGGACTTTTGAGTGTGCGGTTGATGACAAGGACCGTCACCCAGCTGCATTAGCGCAACCTTAAATAGAGGTAATTTGAGCAATCTTTATTTATTCTGAATGTGGTGGGTCCAGCTCTACCCCACTTACGAGGAGGCAATAGTTCCTGATTCGCGAGAATTCACCGTGCAGCTCGCCTCGAGTACCACGGAAGCCTTCGCTCTGTAAACCAAAGCATCCCTTCGTTCTTCTCTCTGAATATACAAGGCAGATCAGTCCACTCTCATTTGTTCTCGGCAAAAACACAAAGTCTTCTACGCTCTATCAGAACCTACTTTCCCATACTTTTACATCGCCTAAACTACCATCATGACACCTCGATACGCTGCATCTTATGCTCATCCAAGTGGCCCCGGGGATGAGCGCCCGACAGCTGAACAGATTGTCCGAGACGAAGGTCTCATTGGAAAATGGGCGGACAAGGTGGTCTTGATCACAGGTTGCTCTTCGGGTATCGGAGTCGAGACCGCCAAAGCGTTGTCGATGACTGGCGCGAAACTATATCTAACAGCACGAAATCTCGAAAAGTTAAAGAATGCCATTGGGGAACTTGCAGTATCTCCGAATGTCCACCTTCTTCAGCTTGACCAGGAGTCTCTTGAGAGCGTTCGGAGCTGTGCTTCAGCGTTTCTGGCTCAGAACAGCCGGTTGCACTTCTTGGTTGCAAACGCGGGCGTCATGATGACCCGCAAAGAGACCACGCAGGACGGCTTCGAGCTTCAGTTTGGAGTGAACCACCTTTCACACTTTCTCTTGATTAACCTCCTGATGCCAGCTCTCCTCTCGGCATCCACGCTGTCACTCCAATCAAGAGTAGTTATTCTTTCCTCGACTGGGCACAAATTCTCTTCTGTCAATTTCGAAGATATCAACTCCGATGGCAAGTTTGACGCCATGCAGGCGTATGGGCAGAGCAAAACCGCAAATTTGTGGACTGCAAACGAAATCGAGAGGCGCTATGGGACCGAGGGACTCCACGCATTCAGCGTTCACCCAGGGGCAGTTACAACCAACCTGGGGCAGCACATGTCCGAGGAGGAGATCCAAGCCATAAACAAGGACCCAAAGCTTATGGCCAGCTTCATGAACCCAGCCCAGGGTGCAGCTACTAGTGTGTGGGCAGTTGTCTCGAAGGATCTCGAAGGTGAAGGGGGCAGGTACTTGGAAAACTGCCAGATTTCATCTGCGCATGATCCCGCAGGGGGAATCTGGGCACCAGGCTATGGTCCACATGCATTTGATGCCACCAGTGCCAAGAAGCTGTGGGATGTCTCCTTGCAATATGTTTCACTCGAGTGAACAATGCCTGTTCCGTATTTTAGATTTTTCAAAAAAAAAAAAAAACCTCGTGAGCTGTAGGTTAACTTCCCAGCTGCAGAATCCCTCCTGACCCGCAGCTGAAGGATCTCACAAAAGTATTTTTGCTTCCATGTTATCAAGTCATGGAACTTGACGCCAGAGTGCCATATAGCATTAAGAATGAGAGTTCTTCGTTCCGACAGGATGTCTTCTGTACAGTAAGTGGACCAAGACGATACAATATAGATGCGCCCATGAGAGCAGCTTATTGGAGTAAACCAGCTCTACCCCGACTTCTGAACACATCTATTCGGTCGGGATTATGAAAGGATCGGTTTTCCATGACTAACACAGACTTTGGCTTGGGTCACTTCCCACACAATGCTGTAGAAGCTGCTCAGTAAAATCCTCAAAGACGGATGCATCGGTTAAGCTTTAGAACAATCGAGACGGAATGATGCCATCTTAGGTATAGGCTGGCAGTATCTGATATCGCTGATCATGATGAAATTTAGACACTTGAAATGGTGCCACACCCAGTAGGGACTGTGACTATTTCCACCTAGCCTCGCTGCTACAGGATCAGTTGAAAATGTTTACATGCATACCGGATACATGTCTCGCTACCATTGCTACTTTCGGCTGATGTCATACATCGACATTACACCCCAGGTCAGACAAAAACAGTTATTTCTACATTTGCATAATCCCCTGCAAATTTCGAAGGCGGGCTGGTGTGACGGATGTAGAAGATTGGCAGCCTGTAACGAACTGGCAAGTACGATGTTTGCTGGGAAGGCCTTCCGAAAGGGAAGTTCCCCGGGGGGGGGGGGTTGAAGGCCTACTTCCCACCACGCATCTCCTTCTCCTTTCCTTCTCCTTTCCTTCTCCCTTCTCTAGACTTGATTCTTTCGCAGACAGTACCGAATTGAGACTTCCGTCCTCTTCTCGCTTGACTTGTAACACGGGCCGTAACGGGAGGGCGTTTTGCCCCTCACCATCTACGGAGGAAACGCTCGCTTATGATTGGTAGGTGTCAAGCATGGTGGGATCAAATGATGTACGGAGTACGGTTGGGAGCTATTTCCCGAAAAAATACGTCTTCCAGGAGCACTAATCAACTGACGTCAGCCCTGGATTATGTAGTTTAATGGGAGCAAAACGTGATAATACCGGCATGCAAAATATATTTTGGTAACCTCTAACCGAGATGAGCCTTGTTCTTTCGAGGCTGCTCACGTAGGGGTAATCTCTTCAACTCGGCAGGGTGCGAAAAACAAAGGTAGATGGGAAAAAGAAGGACTTTTGCGAGCGTTTTATCTTACTCGCTGGAGACAATGGAATTGTGCATGGAGAATGAGTCTACAATTTCTTCGAATAGACTAGATCATATTGCTCAAATCAGCCTTAACAATGTTCCATGATATAAAATTTTGTCTTTTGATAGCTCCCTTATCACCAGCCTCAATGACACGTGTTTGAAGCAGATAGACTGAGAAAGTATACTGGCTTCAGGCTAAGAGTTATCAGCACAAGACCAAGTACCCGACGTTCCATCAGCCTTCAGAGAGGCAATGATTCCAACCACTGCACCGTACGTGCCACCGACCATCAAGAATGTGCCAATCACGATCATGAATATGCTATAGCATACCATAAATATCCATTGAAGTGACCGCTGCTCCTTTCGCTTGCTCCAATTATCATATAACCACATACAACCTGCTGGCTGGAAACACTGCACTGTCCCTAGAAGGGCCCCAACCAAAGATATGAGGCTCCCGAAAATCGGAATTCCGCTTGCAATAATATACGCGACCACAATTACGGCGAATACGCAAGCCAGCCAGGTCGCCCAGTGCGCAAGCGTATTTGCAGTAAGATGCTTAGACCCTCGCATGAAGCGAAGGAAAATGTACTTGCTTGCCATCTGCCTATCTGTTAGGTGACATATTCTTCGAGGGAAAAGGCATAATCTCACGTGAGTGCTGATAGTTGAGGTGACAAACAGCCCCGGAAGAGAAATCCCATAGGCAATCCGTTTGATCAACGTTCCAGCAGAGCCAAGAGCGGGCGATGAGACATAAGATCCGCAAAAATAATAAACCACCGTTCCAATCGTAATGTAGGTAACAGTCACAACAGTTTGGCAGACCGTTAATGATTTTGCGTAGTGACGAGGATCGCGCATTTCGGATACAATTGGGAAGAAGAAAGGTGTGCCAGCGTAGGCGAAGATGAACTGTGAAATAGCTGAGATACCATCAGTGAAACTTGGAGAATTCACAATCTTATAGTCAGACACCCAAGGGCCTGGAGGCGCAGCGTCGGGGCGGTCTTGAATTCCCACGGCAATCGTCACAATAAAGACTATAGTACTTCCATTAGAACTCATTCTCACATATAACTCGTCTGGATATCACTTACTAGAAGTAAGCATACATGCCAGACCAACCCACGCTAGCACACTTATTCGGTCCAGGGTTCGAATACTAGCGAGGCCAAGGACCACAATAGCAGCGACTGCAACAAATACAGCAGTACATGCTCCATGATTCGAGACTGCATTCAAAGCGATAGAGAGGCCTAAAATACCGGAAGCACCACAGAAAATCAAGACTATTCACATATCACCTGTTAGCATACTATTCCACTAGCTTTTCCTGGTGAATCTCTTACAAAGGGATAATCCTATTCCCAGAATCTCCCGACCAATCGGACCAAATATCAGCCCAGTCGCGTCATCTATACCATACACTTCGCGGTGGTTCAGCTTAAAGACACCGACCATATAACCGGACCAACTCATGGTAACAGCAATGATGATCAAGCAGATTACCCCTGGAACGAGGCCTAATGCGTCGAAAGCGGACGGGATTGACAACACGCCCAGTCCGATTTGCGTTTTCATCATAAGTATGGATGTTCCCATCCATCCCAACTGAGTGGTGGTCAGATTTCAAAAATTCATCGACGTTGAGGCATACATACATTGCGATAGTTGGGTCCATCCTCTGAGATGACTCCGAAGACGGCATCGTCAGTCACGGTAGCTCCGTGTTGCACCTCCTCAGTTGGCGAAGAGAATAGGGTGCACTCTTCTTTGTTGTTCTTCTCATTCATGTTGTTATGTTGTGCCAAGTAAGTGTGATGTTTTAGTAGAGTATAGAAGGAGTATCCTTGGAGGGGGAGTCAAGTCGTATTTATGTAATTTTTTTTCCAGCTTTTGTCTGCTCCGGGGTAAAGATATCTCTACTCCCGTGTCAATGCATAAGCTAAAATCCAATATCGTGGCAAATTATACCTTTACGCTTGAAAGCTGCACACGTAATTGCACTAAAAAGCCTCATACAACACCCTCAGGGATTTTGACTTTGTTACCTATGAATCGAAGCTACCACGACGATCTCTGAGAGGCCAAAATCTTCGATCCATATCTCAGAATAACCGGGAGAACCAGGAATTAAACGTTACATTGGTATTCGATCTGCCCCCTTTGCCAGCTTAAGTTTTCAGTATTGTTATCTACTGCGGCGCCGTTATGAACAGTCTCCGCCTCGAACCCCAGATACCCCACAATTTGACACTCGGAATTTGAGATATTCATCACGTAAGAGAAATCATCTATTGAGAAGGTAGGCCATTCAATAAAGAAAATTCATCGTATTCTCAATACGCAAACGAAGGCTGATCTCAACAATCCAGCATCACCATGACAAGGTTGAAACGGAGTATCTCCACAAGCCGGAAGTTCCGTGATCTCCGGTTCGGAGGTAGCCTTGATGGGAAAAGAAAAGCGTAATCATCAAAGCCTACCAATATTGGTTGATTGGACCGGTTATCTCTAATAGTCTCCAGTACAAATGCCTCTACACTAGTTTGGAACATGCATTTAGGAACGATAGCGTAGGTGCGATTGGTCTTCCGCCAAGCGTTTTATATTATCGCTCTAGATCAGTGGGATTTTCACGAACTTGCAGGCTATTCAAAGAGATTCAATTACGTCTGCTTTGCCCGCGAAACTTAAAAACGGCTCACAGCCTATTCTGGTCATAGAGGATCAATCGTCAATTTTATTTCTTCGTGCGTAAAGCAGTCGCCAAATAAATTGTTTCGGTAACCAGCATAGGTGAAATTGGTGAATATATACTTCCCTTTCACTATCACGAAGAGAGATATGAGATGGCCATTTGCATCTAGTATAAGGTAATCTTAGGTGATGGTAATGTTTTTGCGTGGAAGAGAGGGCTTTCCATTAACGCTATCGCCGACTGTAAACATCGGAACCTTGTATGTATATGGCTACGCCAAGAGAAACATCGTCATCATTATGATAAGCCGCATTGCGAATACAAGCCTCTCGTTCAGTAGCTATAATTTCGACGTGTGGTGGAACACTTTTTTGTTTCACGGTTGTGGCAATAATAGAAGTAGGGAAGAAGAGTAGCAGAAGTGTGCACTTAAGGGAGATGTGATCCTGGTTGGGTGCCTGGCCAAAAGGAAGGGAGTTACATGTCGTTTGCAGCTACCCACCCATGAGCGCTTTCTTCTGGTTATGGCTTTCAAGTAGGAATGGCAAAAAGAGTCAGTACTTTGCTGAGTGTAAAATTGTTCACCTTCCGGGGTGAGATTACACCTGGTTCCAGATCGATCCAATAGGTTGATTTCACGAATCGTACCGGTCACGTGGTGATATAGTCACATGCCCGTGAGTTCCTGATTCACTCGCCTCTTCCCCTCATCTTGATCTCGCAATGGACAGGCACAGTATCCGACAATACACTTAGTGACGATCATATGAGATGTGGGAGGCATAATGTCTCGGGCTAGCACCGCTTCGCAGCCGTTAACACGGCAGGCTTGTGAATCATGCCGGTATGCTCACATCCCCTGATCTGTTCCTCAACCCGATTAGCAAAATGTAATCTGAATTGTGAACTAGCCGAAAGAAAACTAAATGCCCGGCTGAGCGACCGAGTTGCTCGTTCTGCCTGCGTCTCAACATCCCCTGTGTGTATATGCCCAGAGGCTCCTCACCTGCTAATGGTATTGGAAAGAAAGTTCCCGTGGATGCAAGGTAATCTTACCGCAAAAGATTATTTGATCATAGATATGTTTGCATATCTGATGAGAGCAGAAGAATACCTACCACAGATCGTGTCCAAATGATAGAACGTCACATTGATCACATTTACGGTCTTCTAGGGTATGTTGGTCCCTGTTCCAGTTCCTCTGGGCCCGTACTCAGATTTTCCTAGATCCTCTGGCAATCGCCAAATGGGACTCTCACCCGAAACTACGATTTCTGCAATTGAGCCTGCAATTGAATCCCCAGGGCAGCGTGTAATTGAATTCGTGGATGTACCGGATCTATCACAATCCGAAAATCAATACTGCATGTTCACACTTGAAAGGTAAAGTTAATCTCCCAGTACAGTATTTTCATGAAATTGCCACTGGATCAGAAGAAAGTGGAGCCTGTATTGATATGGTCTTGCGATGAAGGCCCCAACCTCCTGTTGAAGTTATTACACATTTTGCCGAGGTGTATCGGACAAAAGTACATCTTCAACCTTTACCTCTCTTTCGCCTCGAAGGACTGGCCGATCAATTACTCTCTTGCCCGCAGTTCGTCTTGTGGAGCTTTCTGTCTCTCCTGTTGACAATATCGAGCCATGAGTTCTTCAAAGGTCAAGAAGGTCTTGCCGAGGATTTCTATTCTTGTTCTTCGGAAGAAATCACTACGAGACTTTCTTCGGAGGGTGACTCAAGGCCGGATGTTACGCGGTCCTTGTGCCTCATTGCATTGAGACACGTTAGATGTAATAATCATTCCATCCCTACTTCCTTCCTCTCTGAAATATGACTGACAACGCTGCCCAGCCTCCCGACTCGCGCAGGCTTGGATGGCCATTGGAAGTGCGTCACGACTTAATGCTATGCGAGACCTATATTGCAGGAAGGCTACACCCGTTCCTGAAGATGACTCTGAAGTCAGAGCCTATTGGAGTGTTTTTGTTCTTGAACGACTGTTCCTTCCCCACAACTCGGAACTTTCCACCATCCATGTTCCTGATTATCCCCAAAGTGCCTCTTTACCACCACCGCCGCCTCGCTCCTCAAATTTTACAGCCGCGGAAATGACCGAGGAGCCCCCCGGGAAAGACATTGGGATCAATGGGTATTGCTTGCGCATTATCTCTATATGGGGTAAAATCAGATTATACCTCCATCGCTTGTCGCGAGGCGAGGTTGAGAAACCATGGTTGGCGGACTCAAATCACACTAGGCTAGGGATAGAGCTCATAGAGTTCGAGGCTCAGCATAGCAAGCACCATTTGCTTCTTAATGTCGCATTTTCACATCGGTCTACGACGGAGGTCAGCCAGCAGAGCGAGTATTGGAATCCTTGGATGATGACAGAGATATTATGGCATGCTTCGCAGGCCATTCTGAATCATCCGTTTCTGCACCTTGTTGTCTTGCGATCACAACAGGATATACCTCAGTCCTGTGTCTTTCTTCAGCAGAAGGTCGACATGGCGTTGTACCATGCGAGCTGGCTGTTCCGGATCCTTCAACTCAGTGAAAGATTGATGGTGATTTCCAATCCCATAATTGGGGATGCTATTGCCGCCAGTGCGACTGTTCTATGGCTATTCCAATTCACGAGAGATGGAAAGGTTTCCCAACGAACACGTGACAACCTGGACACGTGTGAGAAGTTTATGGGTACAATGGCACGTATGTGGCCACATCTTTTGCATAAGGTGAGAACTGAGGACTCAATCCATTGAATCGGAACTTCTATTTCGAAAAGTGGGCGTCCTCTTGAACACAATCTGTCGATCACAAGGGGTGAGTACCAAGGCTAACATACTGTGTAGCTTATGACCCTAAAGAAATTACGAATTCTCGCAGATCAGAACCGTTCGCAAGCTACCTATCAGGACATGACCATTAATTTCAAGCCAGAGTGGTTTTGGGACCTCCTTGTCCCCAGCATACACGAGACAAATGATTCATTGGGCGTGAACTCAATGGCCGAATCTGGAAGTGACAGCACCTCGAAGATGAGGCTTAAATCCCACTTTATTGACCGCCTCCCTGAAGATTTTGACTCTGACCGAGAACAAGATCATCCAGAGTCTGCTCCTTTTTCTCTGGACTCGTTTCCCATCGGCATGGAAGACCTTGAGCAATTTCATATCGAGGAATTATCACGTGACTTCCTTGAAAGTGATTTCTGGGATATGGTCAATTAGTCCCAGCAACTTCTTGGTTGGCTAGGAGATAGTGCTGGGTTGCTCCTTGAAGTCGGGTCTCTGTCCCCTTTTAGGCAGCGACGCAATATGACCGCGCGAAGGTTTCCTGTACAAATAAATGGTTCCATCAAGGTCGGCGAAAAGTGTTACATATGGTGCCAGAGGCATCTGCTACCCTTTGCTCTTGCCGTTTATAGTTTTTCGCGGTCTACTTGGATCTGTTCACTAGCACTAACCATAATATCTCGTTTCTCTGGTCCCTCAGCACACTAGATCTTGATTTGTCAGATGCGACTGCGAAAAGATATAGGCCGAACAGAAAGGCTTGGTACAGCGATTGGCTACGGATTCCAGGAGTATATACCAAGCAGATAAAAGTCGGCAAAAAGCAAACTCACATGGCGACTGGATAAACGATAGCTATGGAACCTGACCGAGCAGGGCGGGAGAGTGGGCCCGGAGATTCAGAATGGGTCCGGAGGTTTAGAATGGGCCCGGAGGTTTAAAGTGGGCCCGATGGTTCAAGTGGCAACTGAGGCGCCGCGGCAGTCATTATCTCGGTGCAGATCTCTTGTCTTGGTAGTCACCCGCGTAGTCTGTATTTTGGCGGAAATTCCGGGGAACCCGCTGATGGATTGGAAAGGAAATATATTCAGTTACTGTAGTGCTCTCATACTCGCATGGCATATATCGAATATTCATTTCAATATTGCTGATTCATCGAAATGTCCTGGGAGGCAGTGTCGAAAAAGGCGCAGGCGGATTTGTTGAACTCCCTTCCTGCCAAGTGGACGATTGACGCTGAAGCTTTTACAGCGGTGACGAATGTCTCCCAAATACCAAAGACATGCGGGATCCTGAGTCACCGCCAGATTCAGATTACGGAGCTCACTGCGACAGAGTTGGCTAAAAACATCGCGTCTGGCCAGTTGAGAGCAGTGGAAGTTTTGGAGGCGTTTGCGGCCCGTGCTGCGATTTCCCATCAATTGGTGGGCTAGCTCTGATATTCCGGGGTGAAGAATCTATATACTAACAACATCGTCAAAGGTTCACTGTCTCACTGCATGGTTCCTAGAAGAGGGGATCCGACAAGCCCAGCACCTGGATGAGATCCTTGACTCTGGGGGAAAACCCCTGGGGCCTTTGCATGGCGTTCCGGTTGCACTGAAGGTAACAATCAGCTTCTATTCCCACGCTGGTTACTTATTAAACTAGTGTCCCTATATTGTTCGGCTTTCTCTGACTGCGTGTAGGATTCTTACAGCATGAAAGGTCACCCAACCACTCGCGGATACGTCATCAATAAAGACGACGTACAACATCACGATGATGCTATCGTAGCAACACTACGCGCTGCGGGTGCGATCTTCTTTTGTAGAACCACTATGCCTCAAACGGGCATGGCTTTGGAAACAGTCAGCAACCTATGGGGCCGCACTTTGAATCCATTCAACACCAGGCTCGTTGCTGGAGGGAGCTCTGGCGGAGATGGTGCTTTGGTAGCCATGAGAGGTTGCCCTATTGCACCATCATCAGATATTGGCGGTTCTATTCGTATTCCGGCTGCTTTCAATGGTCTTTATGCCATTCGGCCCACCTCGCTTCGGATCCCCAAAGCGGCGTGGGGAGGATCGAAGACAGGTCAGACCTCGATTCGAGATTCGGTGGGCCCTGTCTGTCATTCTGTTGAAGACGTCCGGATGTTTACGCAAATTCTTACTGGAGATCCGACAAACAGATATGACGTCTGCAGTGTCCCCATTCCCTGGAGAGATGTCTCACTACCTAAACGAAAGCTGGTAGTGGGTATAATGACATGGGATGGTGCAGTTATGCCTCAGCCACCTGTTCTTAGAGTCATCGCTCATACAAGACAGGCACTCAGTGAAGCTGGATTTGAAGGTATGCGTTTCCTCTTTTCTCAATCTACAAAGGCATTTTTCTAAAACTCCAACGCAGTCATTGAATTTGAACCACCATTCGACTGCTGGGAGCTCGCAAAATGCACGGTAGGAGTTTGATACCTTCAGATATTTTTTAAGATCAACTGGCTTACAATGGGCTTAGTTTGACATCTACTTCCAAGAAGCTGGCGAAGGGACCCTTGCAAAGCTCAAACCTACAGGGGAACCGCTAATTCCGGCGTTTGCAGATCTGCTTAAGGTCTATAATGCACGCCACCTCACCGCGCTGCAGCTTTGTCATGTATGGCCGTTTCATCCTTTTGTAGGAAATCCCATTAATAAGTAATACTGCAGCTTAACATGAAGATGCGGGAGTTCAAGGAACAATTTGCGGACGCCTGGATGCAAACAGACCGGCTCACTACATCTGGACGCCCTATGGATGCTTTGATTTGCCCTGCTGCACCTTCCGCGGGCGCACCGCACGACTACAATGCATATTGGGGTTACACATCGATGTTCAACTTTCTCGACTACCCATCAACAATCTTACCTGTGGCTAATTTTAAAATTGATCCTCGAATTGATCATCTCGATGCAACATATCAGCCACTGATGTCGAATCCTTACGACAACGCGTACCAGGCGATGTGTAATGTCACCTTCTGATTTCATTGACCCGTATGGAACTAACATATCATCCCAATAGATAATGCGGAGCTCTTTGTCAACCAACCGTCTAGCATACAAGTTGTTGGACGCCCGTTCGACGATGAGGAACTTATCGAGGTCACTTCTGAGATCGACAGTATCCTTAAGGTGACGAGGCAAGTTAAATCAAATCTTTAGGCCTGCGGAAGCAGGTAAAAAACTTGACCAGTCTAATTGATTTCGTGGTTCCCGTGAAGATAGATTGTAGGGCCTGCGGAAATCCATAGAGGAGAAGAGGAAGGAAGGCAAGACATCCTACGTCGTTGCCCCGTCCGACGCATGATTCCTGATTTCACCTACTTGTACCATCGAAACATTTCAAGACTTATTTCTACCGTTAATCTTTCATGATGCACCTTATTGCCAGTTGCTTGTTGTGGCCTTCATAATTCATAGCCTACAAATCCACCATTACAAGTCGTCTTGGTCGCAGCCTAAGGGGTAAAATGTAAAATGGATTAAATAAATCGCAACATATAGTAGTAAATTCCGTATCCAAACCATCCTCATGCTACTTTGGCGTGGTGTTTCGTTTGCCTACTATGAATACATCTGCGATGCTGAAAATAGATATATAATGCGATGGACCCTTTAGCTTGGTTTTTATTGAGATTAGATTGGGCAGTACTCGTTACTTTGCACTTGTTCCGATTTTATCAAATCAAAATTATTGTTTTGCATTGCATTAACTAGTAGGTCATCATGAACATAGGAATGTAAAGTTGCCATACAGTAGGGAAAGCTATCTTTTCATCGGGTTTTTCGGTTAGGACGCCTAAACAAGTTTTGATCTATCAAAATTTACAGTCTGCAACAACTCGACTTCGAGTTGATATCATCCCCTCCATCAACCAACACACTTCGGTTGCTCTCCTGTGTTGAAACTGCAACATCCAGACCGGGATTTCCAGTGAAGAAATTAGCTGGTTTAAGACCGACGACCATCTTCTCCGACGGCATGACAGGCCAGTCTTCGATTCTTGGGTTGTGTGTCGATCCAAAAGTGTGCCAAATGACGATGTCCTTGTTACGCACCAAGGATTCTTCGGTTCCAGTACGCTTTTCAATAGCAGAAGCAATCCCGTCGCCACCAGTTGACTGCATGGTGTGACGGCCAGATGGGAAATGCTCTTCTTCATTGTAACGCGTGACCCAAACAGCGTGCTTTCCAAACTCAGAGCGCTTGGCATGGTACGAACCTGGGTGTGCCAGCAGCATCTGGCTGTAGGCAGGAAGCAACTTGAAACCGACAGGGGTTCCGGTCACAGGATTGATGACATTCTCGTTGATAATTTTGAATGTGCGGTTCTTTGTAAAATCCAGGTCCAACCCTCCCTCTCTATCAACGATAGAAGAGCGTGTAATGTATCCGACACCGAAGGGGTTGTCGTACGAGTCGACCTGAGCTTGCGATTTGCCGTCATGGTCAAAACTGGGCGTGTCAACAGGCATAGCATGTGATTCTTCCACCTGCAAGGAATTGTTCTGGCCATCGATTGCAGGATCCATACGAAGAGAAAACAAATGCTGGTGATAAGGGGCAAGAACGCCTGGAGCGACGATTGTACCATAAGGTACCTTGTCGCCTATATCAATCGGACAGGTCGAAAGGATTCCAGTGGCACGAACTTCGTAGTGAATCGATGCATCCTGGCCGAACTGAAACGCGAAAATATATTCGTAGTTGCTAACCGTGATGATAGTTTGAAGAACCAGAATTCGCGAACGCGTCACAACGGCATTTTGGGTCCGGAAGTTTGTGTGCTTCCACAAAATTCCGTCGTCTTGTTCATGACAGCAAATCACATTCGGGAGCTTCACAGGGTCTCCTGAAGTAGTAGTGTGCCAGCCGTCGAAGTACTTGATGTGACCCAAGCAGTCGCAGCCCAGACGTAGGTTGTTAGCATTGATTCCCGCTCCGTCATTGCCGAGATCAAATGCCGCTTTGCGAGGGTAAGGAGCTCGAGGGTCACCATAGGGCACAAACATTTCTGCAAGAGACAAGCGGTAAAAGAGGTTGCGGCCATCGTAGCGAACGTTGTGAAGGGTGAGACCTTCTCGGTAGTTGAAACCGATGTGCATAGACCACTTTTCCCATTCCAAATAGTTCCCTTGTGTCTTGAAGGAAGGGCCTTCGGGCTGTACAACTTGATACGGCTTCGTCGTTGTCCGTGGTGAAGGTCTCAAGCCAGGGCTATATTCAGTCTCGGCGCCGTGGATTTTTCGGCGGTCGAACGGCTTTGGCTTGTCGTGAATGCGATCGTCGGGACTGGAAGGCAGTTGGTAGATTTTGGTCACCTTCAGCTCCTCTGACACTTCTGCGCAAATATCCAGTGGATACGCGTAGTAGTTGGCATCAGCATTATCTACCAAACGCATGTAGAACCAGCACTATACACCGCTTTAGCATCTAGTCCTTGATTCTGATTGGATATATAGGGTAAGCACGATTTACCATGGTGGTCCGCTGTGACGTGTCATTGGTGCCATCTGTCGCATATGCCCATGCCTCGACAATAACAGAAGCACCGTCCGGTAGTTGAAGGTGGGCAATTTGTTCCTGAACTTTTGGGTCTGCCATACACGCTTTCTCAACAGCTTGCATATAGTCAGAGTCAATGTATGGGTGCTTCCCGATAAGATGTTCCTCTTTAAGGATCGCAGCTTGGTCGAGGTCAACCCAAAGTTCAATGAACTTATTTGCCGAACCCCAAGGAAGAACTGCCTGAACACAAGCAATTCTCGCAGGTCTCTTCCGTGCAGTCTCTCCTCGGTTCGTATGCTCCAAGAATGGAACCATCTCCGCCTTGGTGGGCTCCTTCAGAGTAATTACTCGAAAGTTGGGGGTTTGTCCAGGAAATGCATGGCGTACAATAGCTGCGGCCTAGGCGTGACACTGTCAGGCTCGGTCCCAAGGGGCATCTTGTGTTTCTACATACCTTTGCGATTTCCTTTGGAGTCAAAGGGTCAAACGGGTAGTTGGGCGACATGGCAGGGCCTTGCAAACGTGACGATCGTGAGCCAAATAGTTGTTGCTTTTGAATGGCACAAGACATATGAAAGATAGTGTTTAAATAGTCATCTCTGAAACCCCGACGGTGGCAATTAGCAAAAATTGGGAATGTTCCCAAAGGTCAATTTTACGCGAAAGTGTTCCTGGTGCTTTTCGATATCCGCATAGTTTCCAATTTCATTCCATGAAGGTAAGGATTAACCGGGCGGTGCCGCGACGGGAACAGGCCAGCCGTAAGAGGCAACACCGAGCGGCCAGATGCTGGTGGAGCCGGAACTTCCGGACGGAACTTCCGTGTTGACTCACTTGAGACTCTATGGTCTAATTGAGGATTGATTCCTGGCGGAATCGATGTTCCCTTAAGCCAGCAAAAAACCCTAAGAGTAACTTTAGGCGGATCTTCTTCAAAACTTACTGTCATTTGTCGGGGTGGGGAAGGTTGAGCCCACCTCCGCATGCGGGATATTCGCTAAAGTATAAGGGTAGCCGACTCACCTTTCGACTAGCTCGTCTTCCATCTTTCCGGGGTTCCAGCTGCGACTATTGACCAAATTCCTGTTAGTCAATATCCGACTATTACTTACAACAGTCGAAGTCCCGGGATCAAGGCCATAAAGATCCGGAGGTACTAGTAACATCATTAGATCTCGTAGAATATCCGGACCAATTTGCCTATAAGAAGGACTCCCGCTGATTATACCGTGACAGGCCTCAAATTTATTCCATTTATCAGATCATCGCTCTAAGTAATTGATTTTCGCAGCTATGTCAAACGACCTTCCTTTCGTGGTTGGTTCCCACCCCTCACCCTAAAGAAACCCCTGTCTTACAGTCAAAACGACATTGACACGCCCATAGCTGGACGACCCGAGCCTTCTTCACGAGGCTTCTTTGCTAGATGGCAAATGGGTTCAAGCTCAGCAGCTGCAAAGTTTCTCTGTTGAAGGTCGGTATCATCCACTCATTCCCAGAAGAAGCTTCTCTAAAAGGTGCAACTCAAGACCCTGGATCCGGACAAGTCTTCGCTCACTGCCCCAACAACGACCTTTCCGACGTTGATCAATACGTGGAATCCGCGCAGACCGCATTCCTCAAATACAGAGATACAAACCCAAGAGAGCGAGCCAAATTGCTTTTGAATTGGCACAGCCTGATCACCAATTCACGGAGCGATATCGCAAAACTCATAGTCCACGAGACAGGCAAACCAATGACAGAGGCTCTGGGTGAAGTAGACTATGCGCTAGGCTTTGCATGGTGGTTCGCCGGCGAGGCCGAGCGCGTCCGCGGGTCAGTAGCTCAGCCGTCCGTCTCGAACAGACGCACGCTGGTAATCAAGCAGCCTATCGGTGTCAGCATAGCCTTGGTACCCTGGAACTTCCCTGTTGCGATGACAATCCGGAAGGCTGCGGCGGCTTTAGCTGCTGGCTGCACAATGATTATAAAGCCCTCACCCGAGACTCCGCTCAGTATACTCGCGCTTGCAGACCTGACCTTGAGGGCTGGGTTTCCACCGGGCGTTTTGAATATTATTACCACAGACAATGACAATACCCCCGCGGTCAGCGAGAGATTGTGCAAGCATCCGCTCGTGCGCAAAGTCACCTTTACTGGTAGCACTGCTGTTGGCTCGATCATCGCGAAACACTGCAGTGATGGGCTGAAGAAGGTGTGTGTTAATTTGAATACATAGACAAGCCTCCAGATATCTGCCGCGCTTCTCAACTCTTCAAGTCGTCGAATATAGCTCACAAGTTATAGGTCACTCTCGAGCTGGGTGGTAACTGCCCATTCCTAATTTTCGATGACAGTGATCTTGACCAAGCCCTAGGAGCACTAATGGTCTTAAAATGGCGCACCGCCGGACAGGCATGCACACATGCCAACCGAGTTTATGTCCAAAGTGGCGTTTACGACAAGTTCCTGTCCATGCTAGTCAACGCCACAAAGAAAATCCAAGTTGGCCATGGCGCGGCCCCCAACACCACGATGGGAGCGTTGACCACAACTCGCGGCTTGGAGAAACTGGAACGGCATATTGCCGACGCCATTTCCAAGGGTGGAAAGATTGTGTGTGGCGGGAAGAGGTTAACGAATCTACCTGGAAACTTTTTCTCGCCCACGATCATTTCCGGAATGACGCCTTCCATGCTGACGAGTCAAGAGGAGATTTTTGGCCCCCTCCTTGGACTGCATCGCTTCGAGACGGAGGAGGAAGCTGTCCGGATGGCGAATGATACTAGCATGGGCCTTGCGGCATACTTCTTCACCAAAGATACAAGTCGCACATGGAGGTTGCTTGAGAGTCTTGAGGCCGGAATGGTCGGGATGAATACAGGTAAGGCCGCTATGATCTTACCCCTTATACAAGTCTTGCTCACCATTCAACAGGAAACGCGTCTGCGGCTGAGTCGCCTTTCGGGGGTATCAAGGCTTCCGGATATGGAAAGGAGGCGGGCAAGGATGTCGCGATAGAAGAGTACCTGATTTCGAAGACTGGGACTTTGACTGTTGATCCCATGTCGAAGTTGTAGTTTACAGATGGTTTAACAATATCCAGTTTTTTTGGGGCATTTAGGTCCTCTACGTTGTATTTTCGATTGTATCATATTCATTTTCGGTGATTACTATCGTTCGTAGCTCGTATATCAGCATTTCCTTCCGCTAATCGCTCGGAATAAGTTTCACTTCATTTCTTTCCATTCTTCGTGAATACATCATATTATGTGGCAAAAAATTCTATTCTCCTTCGTCTAAACAATTTTACTCAGAGTTTAGTAGGGAATTAGTAGAGATGCTCGTCGGGCCTCTACCCCCACATTTTCCGTGTCAGAGCCTACTGGTCCGTGCTCAATATCTAGGCTAGTGTCTTGGCGATAACATTAACTAATACAAAACTCGAGAAGGCATCAAGTCCTCGCTCAGGATCTTTTTCCTAGTAGTTCCATCTATGCTAGATGAACCCCTAAAGTTCATCAAAAATCTCTTCGATTGGGTTTAGGCCCGGCGAATACGGTGGCGAATAGACCAGCTTCATCCCTGCGTCCGCGCACATTTGTGCAAGTCGCTCCAACCGGCGGTGATGCGTCGTCCATGACTAAGACACATTCTGGCTAGGTAAGTAGGTAGGCGAAATGATGCAAAATTGCCATTCCTATCCATCTCAGGCGTCTTTGTGGATGACCTTGGCTTTATAGTATTTGTCAAGCTGAGAGATGGTATTTTACCACTAAGAGCTGGCTGATTCAGCGAATATGTATTTATGAGGTGACATTGTACTCGCTTGTAAATATAATATATACATCCGATACCTCCATACCCCACCTCCAAAACACTCTCCCTGGTGTGACGGATGTAGAAGATTGGCAGCCTGTAACGAATGGCAAGTACGATGTTTGCTGGGAAGGCCTTCCGAAAGGGGAAGTTCCCTGGGGGGGGGTATGAAAGCCTACTTCCCACCACGCATCTCCTTCTCCTTTCCTTCTCCCTTCTCTAGACTTGATTCTTTCGCAGACAGTACCGAATTGAGACTTCCGTCCTCTTCTCGCTTGACTTGTAACAGTACCAAGTTATGACATTCCGCCATGTGTACGAAAACCTCGTGGAACTCCATGGAGCCCCGTAGAGTGGCACCTTGTGCCTTGTTCCCAGATCTCCCTCATGAATATGCTCTCCGTTTTAGCCGCAGAATAGATGCACCTTTGCTGGTCACACAACTGCAAACCCTTTAGCAATACCTAAGCTACGCTAACCTCTTCTAGACTGTCCGTTTAATAGACACTAGAAAGTACAAAATATGAATCAGTCGGCGTACTTTGCGCATAATCAGACGTGAAATTGGTTTTTGCCTTGGCCGTAGGGAAAACATGTGCTGAATCCGCGGCTCTTGTAAGAATAAACCGGAGGAAAGTCTATGATCTCTACGGGGAGGTTACTGCTATATTCGAAAACAGATTCCCCCGTCTACACTCGCAAATTGTCTCCCGAACCCTATATTAAGACACGCTAGCCTCAACTTGGTTAGTTCCCCCAAAACCCCTGTCAAATTGTATCGTCCTGCACGAACGGTAATATATGAGTCATCGTTATGATACAGTAAATATCTTAAGGAAACTCGTGGAATATTCTCTGCGAATGGTCCAAATAGAGTAGAAAGCCTGGCGACCTGGTGAGATCTCTCTCTATCTCCCTCCTTCATCACGCGAGCAAGCTTCGTCCACACCCGTTTCTTACTCACTAGAAGGCCGTGCCAGTGTTTAGAACAGTACTAACCTTGGTAGGAGATCGCGCGTCTTCATTTCCATGGATTATCTTCCCGTTTGCGATTTTCAGTCGTTACTAGTGTCTGTCAAAAGCTAGTATCCCCACATAAGCTAACATGAGCCTCTCAAGGGCTGAGACTGGATCTAGAGATGGATCAAAGTCCGTATCATGTCGATTACATCTCTTAGCCCGAAGAGCTCGATCCATGGGAACAGAACTCCTAGGGATCACTTCGGTGTTCGTCTCCGCGAACTCGGCCTGTATCCGAGATTTTTGCAAGCCGAGATCTCAAGGCTTCATAGCAGATTGAGAATTATCTGTAGCTATTCATAGTCCACTGTATCTCTTTAACTATGCTCTGTGGCTGTAACAGCTGCACATTGTGACTGCAATGCAGACGAACAGATCTACTGAGACGAGAAAGCCTCAAAAGTTCTCTTTGCCAGTCCTCATGCATCTCGCGCCATCTATCGAGATATTTTCGAAATAGAGCTCGTTCTTCTTCTGTTCCGTTGCCGGCAGCCACTCCAAAGTCATACATTTTCTGAAAGTCTTCAGGCGTATCCGCAATGATTACACTGACCGGATAACCCTTGAGAGGTAGCTTCTCAAGTTGCTTTTTGAGGGCCAATGCCAGTCTGTCGTTCGGCGCCGCCTGCATCTCAGCAGCCTCAGTGGCTTGATGTCGGGGATTAGCCTGCTCGTTTTTGAAGGCTTTCCACTCCTCCTCGGATAGGACATGGGACGTCACAAGACCGGTAGTTTCAACAAAATCCTGGCCACCGAGGACTGGATTGAAAACGTCCCAACCCCAAGCCCCACTGTCAAAGATACGTTCAGTATTGCAATCTACGAACACCATGCCCACGATATCATTCGGCCTGAGTTCTAGAAACTCGCGAGAAGTGTAGCCTCCCCACGAGTGAGCGACAACGATAAATGGAGGTTCAATACCGGCGTTCTTTAGGAGAATATCGAGCTCTGCTGCGACTGATGCTGCAGATATGCTTGGTGGTGTCTGGTCGGGACCTTCACTCCTCCCCATCCCTGAACGATCGTAGTTCAACCATCGAGCAAATGGAAGCACAAGCTTTCGCACTGCAACCCACTCATCGATTGTGCTGCCAAGGCCCTGCATGAGAACGACGATAGGCTTTCCAGGCTTGCGATCAGGCCCCGAAACGGACAGATAAAGGTTATGGGAGCCAATGGAGACAAGTCCATCCTTGTCACCTTTGTCCCAGTCAATTCTAGAAGTTGGTTGCATTGTGAACTGGACGTGTATTCGAGTTGAGTAAGCAATTAATTGACGTCGAGTTGTTTGATAACGGGGAAGTGAAAGATGCCCAAGCAGCCCGCTTTTTAACCAAGCGGCTCGCTTATTAATGCAACGGTCGCCCTCGGCCTCGGAGGCTAGGATAACCTTGCTGCCTTGCTAACCACGCTTAGACGTTTGGAGTAGAGAGTGGGTGGATGAACGTGTCTCAAAAGTTTCCCGTAAAATACGTCTCAAAAGTTTCCCGTAAAATACGATAATTTACGTTATGTGAAAACATACGTCTATTATTGGCAAAAAGGATATCTACGACTAACCCTAATGTAGACTAGCGTGGTTCAAGATAGGGTTCGGGAAACAATCTGCGAGTGTGTGCAGGGGAATCTGTTATCGAATATAGCAGTAAGACACTACTTTACATCTGCAATTCTCAAAGCGTTTAACCTGTCTACAGGTCGCCGGGTCCTACTGTGATCAGGACCCAGGGCCTTCTCGTAGCCTATTAGTGCTCGCTGGTACATCTCCTCGGCCTCTTGCAGCTTCCCCTGATCTCTGTAGAGAGCCCCAAGGTTGTGAACTGTATTGAGAGTGGACGTATGATCAGGACCGAGGGCCTGCTCGCTCACAGCCTGCTAGTGCTCGGTGGAACATCTCCTCGGCCTCTTGCAGCTTCCCCTGATCTCTGTAGAGATCGCTAAGGTTGTTAACTGTAGTGAGAGTCGACGTATGATCAGGACCGAGGGCCTTCTCACGGCCTGCTAGTGCTTGGTGGAACATCTCCTCGGCCTCCTTCAGCTTCCCCTGATCACTGTAGAGAGCCCCAAGGTTGTGAACTGTATATAGAGTGGACGTATGATTAGGGCCGATGGCCTTCTCCTTACCTACCAGTGCTCGCTGGTACATCTCCTCTACCTCTCTTAGCTTCCCCTGGTCAGAGTAGAGGTCTCCTAAGCCATGAAACGCTCCCCACACCGCAATATCGTTGCCTGGGCGATCCCTATGACGTACATAGTTCGCGTGGGGAGTAAGCCGTTGCTGAAACTTGGAATATTTTCTGACACTCATACTAGGGACCGTGTACCCAACAGATACCAGTGCCAGTTCATTGAGCTGAATTGAATTCACAGTTTTGTCTGCGCTAGCAAGGTGAATGCACCAGTCTTGTACTACAGGGTGGATAGCGTAGCCTCCTTGTTCTTTAATTTCGAGTAGAGAGAACTGGCAGGACCCCCCCCCCCCTCCAAATTTTTTATTAAATACGAGTATATTTCAGGCCTTAGGAGTCGTGATTGAGAATTGCTGGAAACTGTCGGCCCTCCCTTTGACCTTACTCCAGATCCTTCTCAAAATTCCACTTAACTCACCATACCCAAAAGCATCTACTTTTTGAATAAAAGCCGAGATGGTCGCCACATCGGCTTACATGAGAGTTTCTCAATCTCAAGAAGAACAATGTCCAGGGGTGACGAGCAACAGGATTCGCCTCTCATAGGGGTACAAAAATCTGCCGCCCATAGACAATGTTGCAGACCCCAAGTCCTCATGGCCGTTTCAATTGCATTATTTGGAGGGGCATGTCTGTTGTTTGCTGCATCGCTCACCATTCTTGCACCCAGTGACCGGAAATGTGCAATACAATTACCATCTTACTGTGGGTTTCAAGTTTCTCGGCTTAGGTATTCCGATGTCCATGAAATATTTGCTAATCGCAATTTCTTAGCCCCATTGCTAGTAGCAGTGGAATATTACGAGGTCGACTGGGCGAACAACTTCCATCAGGAGTCCATTTATCGGGGATTGCCAACTCCAGAGCTAGAACTCGCATGGTGTGACGAGCAGGAGGGATAGCAAGGAAACTGGTCAATGAGTGTTTGGGTGTTTGATGGAAGTGGGAGTTTCCGAACGTGCAACAAAAGGGCGATCTCCCAGCAGATGGAACTTCTTCTTCTCTTCTCTCTAGATTTGGTTGCTTCGTTGAATGCTACCATGTTGATTCGACATCCTCATGCCTGAGTGTAACAGCCAACAAAATTGTTCGAGGAGAGTGAAAGGGTTGGAACTCAGGGTTCAAATTTCCGGTTTGGATACAACCCATGAAAGTGTGGGTCATCGATCCTTTAGTCCCTCGAAATTTGTGGCTAGAGGTGCCAGGAAAGTTACCACAGGATAACTGGCTTGCGGCAGCCAAGCGAGGTTGCGATGCAGGGCTCAAAGGTTGACCGAAAAATGGTTCATCCTTCCAGATGAATGGAGGCTTATCGGCTAAATGGGTGATTGGAAAAATATACATGAAGTAAAGGCATTTCGCATACTCGTGTGAAGTACTGCCAGCAGTACAAAGTCCGATGATTAGAGTACATGTGCATCTCAGTTGCTCGAGGTGATTCCCAGAGGCCGACTGTCCCATTTCTCTGCAAACCCCCATCCATGCTCCTGCAATTTCCTCGAAAAGATTTCAACCGCTGCAGGTTGTGCCAGCCTCTTCGGGGAAGTGCTCGCTGTCATTTGTGTATGGGACATCACAGCCGTGGTGTCTTGCTGCTGGAGCTGGAGCTTCTCAGCCAGAATCCTTGTCCAATGAGTGGATTGGGCATTGCACACTGCGAGAATGTAATCCCGGGGAAAGGAAGGCCGCTGCAACTCCCACACAGGCGCAGTGAGCAGATGTTCCAGCCACAGAAAAAGTCCCTCGGCCTGAGTGTTCATCGAGGATTCAGTCGCCGCATTCAATACCAAGTTGTGCACCAGCTCCTCGGACAGGAAGAGCAAAACCGAAGAATGAAAACCCGCCACCTGCTGCAGAACTGGATCCCACTTGTTGAACATGGCGTCCATCGAGTCTCCAAGTCTAAGGTCAGGGTTAGCTTTTTGTCCTAAAGGCAGAACACAGATGCAAAGGAGACTCACTTTCTCTCTGAATCAAACAGCAGGTTCGAATCCAACAGAATGGTCGACAGGGCAGCCAAACCAGCATTCATTCCATCCTTCGAGGCACCGCAGACTTCAAGCAATCGACCCGCGGTGGCATCCTCTTGCTCGCGCTTCCTTTTCTTTTGCATTGGTCTAGAGCCTGACCCGCGCATGAACTCCTGCAACACTTGACTGAGGGCTGTCGTCATGGGAATGCTGTCATCATGGCCAGGCACAGTTGCGCCACCGACTCCGTCGCTGTCAATGTTCGCCCAGTAATTGTCCCACAACCACTCCAGCGAGCGCTGTGTGGCTTTGCGCAGGACAACCAGCGATGGAGGCTCACGATGTGTCGCTTCATGGCGCAACTCGACAAATGATGCCGGCAGCCCCAAATCCATTGCTCGTTGGAACATTGTTCTCCGTGGACCGGTGACTTTGGTGTCTACCAGTCCCGTCACAAATCTAAGGATTGGTTAGCCAGTCGTGGAAGATGCATGGTTTCCATGTAGCTCGGCCCATGGGTCATGAAGACCATCCGGTCGGATGCTTGGGAGCCCAAGCACATGGAATGTGGTCACAACATACCGACAGAAGGCTGCAGAGTACGTGGCTCTGATTGAAAATATCGAGTTTCTCTGTCCATCGTCATGAAGAATCGCGTCTGTCAACAACGCCGTGGCCTCCACATGATGGGGGACGTTGCCGCGCAGTTTCCAGGCCTCCACCTACTTTGATATTAGTTTTTCAGCGCGCTGACTCTAGAAAGAGGATTCACATACTGTTGCGCAGGCATGTGAGCGCATATCCGGCCCATTGTACCATGCGGGCGGGTAAAATTCACTTCGCACATCGAGTAATTGAGCCTTGGTCTTCCAGGCTGTAAAAGTGACCTTGGCCATCTTGAGTCTTGCGTCCGCACAGAGCCGTTCTGTAACAATGGATGCCAAATGAGGCACCAGTCCGTGTTATGAATCGGAGTTCGAGACTTGGTGAAATATTCGCGGAGGGTTGTTGATCCTTTGGGGTAGTTTTTCCGAGATCACGGGTCCCCTGACTGGGCTGGGCGGTGAGCTCATTCTGCCTCACGCCCACCACAGACGCCATCACATGACTTTGCCGCCTCAACGGAGCACACCGCCCTAGCAGAAAGCCTCCATGGCCGCTTCGAGCGTGTTGAAAACAGCCTGGCGGCCTGGTACAATTGAATCAATTCCGCTACAGTCTCTGAACACCTGTTGAATGAAAAGAGGCAACCCATTTGTATGATTATCGAAAGATTTACTCCGAATACTTCAATACAAGTACTCCGAATACTTCGGTACAAGTGATCAGCATCAACTAAACTCACGGGGTTTGTAAGTCTAACAATGTCAAATTACCACAGTACTCTTATACCGAATGACAAGATGAACGCTTCATTGCGATTAGAATTCAAACAAAGATGGTATTCAAGGCAGCCTCATTACTTATTTCTCGTGTCGTGAGCCAGAGAGCAGACGGAGGGAGAATGGAAATCGACTGGGGCGTGCCAACAAGATTGCAAGGATCAAGTACGAAAGAAATGAAGCAGATGGGGCATCATTTGCATACACAAATCCTTCATGCACAATATGTGTATCCTGACCTTGAGAATCTCCCTCCGTTGTCCATCATGGAGTACCTTAAGTCACCACATCGGGCTCCAGACAATTGCTAGACTCCTGAAGGGCGACACACCGCTTCACCAGTTGCACAAAAGCTTGGAATGTCACCGGCTGGTCATTCCACACAGGGTTGACTAAGTCTCGAAGTTCCTGAGTGAGCTTATGCCACAGCTCAAACTTCAGGGTTCCATCGTTAACGTCCTTGCCCGACTGCGCGGCCAACAAGATGAACTTGCGGAAGAATGCTTCGAAAGACTGTTCGTACTTCATTTTCAGCTCTGTGAACTCCACATGGGCGTCCAGCGACTGAAGTGCCGGGGCGTAAATGAGCTCCAAATATTGAAGCATTTCCTCCGCGTGGCGGAATGGACACGGGGCGTCGTCTCGCAAACGAGGAGCCAGTTGTTGCGCAGCGTCACCCGTGCATCGCGATGCAACGTAAGCCATACGGACCTCCTCAGTGTCCATTCGGTCGGCATTCACCCGCATCTTGAGACGCATGAACACACACCAGAGGTCAAAGTCCGGCTGTCTACCATTGCTCAACCGTGGAGGGTCAGGGAGCCAGTAGCTCATGCGGAGAGCCAGCTGCTGAGGGTCTCCGGGCGGACGGATATCAGATTCGCGAGCCGAGGCTTGAGTGGGGACAGTCTCGAGACTGCGGTAGGATGCAGCCATGGACTCGAGTCCTTTCTGGTGGCGAATGGACATGGCCGCGATGACTTCGATTTGAGCGTGGTTCTGCAACTTCTGGGTTTCGAGTTCCTGCGTAAGCATAGTGATTCGAGTCTGAGATGATGCAGTATCCATAGCGGACATTGTCTGCAACTCGGCAATCATGGCCCAGAGCAACGGAGGGCTGTGACGGGTCAGATCAAGGAACTGCTCGTAGTTCATTCGTCCCTGTTGCAGATGTCCTTCCGGTCGATTGGGTTGCGGCACGAAGGTCAAATGTCCGTCAGGCGCAGGTCTCTCAGTCTTAGTGCCCGAACTCTGGCGGTGCCGCATTTCGAAGGACTGTTCATCTCCACGGAGGTTGTGGTCGGCGAAGTTGGATTTGGAGGAGTGCGGATCAACTTTGCGCGACATGTTGGCTGGGAGGGATCCGACAGAAAGTAAAGAGAAGATGCAGATGAATGGTGTGTTCCACCGAAGGGGTTGAAGGTGTTGAAGGTGGGGAGAGGAGAGAAAAGAAGAGGGAAAAACGGCGGGCCCCAAGAAGTTCAGATAAACAAACCGCGCGGTGCCAATTTGTTTTCCATTTCCCAATTCTCCCCGTTCGCTCACCTGGTGATGCCCACCACCACCAACCACCGCCTCCTCCTCCCTCCGTCTCAAACCTCAACCCTCTCGGAGTCTCGATCGAGAGATATCTCAGTCACCCATTGATGTTTGGTACTGACAACTGAAATCTAGCTGCCCTTCGCTTTGAACGGGGACGTTTCCGTTACTCCAGCGCGACGCCATGGCTATGTTGATGGTTGTGGGATGGTGACTGGGGAAGACTCACCGCATGGCGTTTCTCCAGACTGGAGAAACCGGTCCTTCAACCCTACGCCGTGCCTGCATTTCATGGAAGCTTCACGCGTCCAACAAGTTGCGTTGAATCCGAGCGTTCTCAAGGGCAGCTCTCTCGCTCCGCACGGCCCAGCATCGTGGCTGGTCTCCACTTTTATACTTCATGCCAGACGATCTCCCGCGCTCGCATCTCCACAGGGCGTGGTGTGCACTTGGCAGAACATCATAAGTCAACAACCAGTCTTTTCCATCAAAGAAACCACCGCAAGACCCATGAATAAGGCGATTTGTTTTGAGGGGTAGTGCCTTTTCTTATAACAAAGATCCTGACCATCTACACCCCAACCAGATCCCTCGAGGGGGAGACTCCATTGTCATCCCCGCATTCGTGGCTCCCATCGCATGTGGAGCCTTCTAGCATCGACCGCGAAGCGCCGTATGCGGCGGCGCACCAAAGAGAGATGGGCACAAGTGTGGCCAAAGGAGACAACTGGCAAGCCGAACCAGCGATCGGTGAACGCTCCGGACAAGAAGGTGCTTCGGCTGTTCGAATCCCTATCGAAGCCATACACCTCGATTCTGATTCAGATGCGCTCCATGCGGATCGCACTGAACCATTTCTTGTTCAAAATCAAGGCGGTTGAATCAGATCAGTGTTACTGTGGAGAGGGGTCTCAGATACCGAGACACGCCTTGATGCAGTGCCCGTTGTACGCTGATCTGAGGAAGACTTTCCTTGACAAGATCAGGTCGACTGACCTTGGAGACTCAACCGATTACGATACAATTGTTTCACACTCGCAGGCCACCCGCTACGTGGCCGAATTCATGCTTCAAACAGGCCTTCTAGGGCAGTTCCGACACGTCGAAATCGAGCCAGAACCACCCGAGGGTGACGAAACGACGAGCCAGGACAGACTGGCAGGCACAGGGGGTGAAGACGATGGGTAGGAGGAACGCCAAGCCCAAGGCCGACCGAGAGGTCTTGGAAGAATACATCCAATATGTCAGCCGACGACGAACGCCACCAATCGAGAACGAAGCAGGAGGATGGTTTGGATGCCGGAGAGGAAAGGCAGGGATGGAGATGCAGAGGGAGCAGCAGGCCATTGCGAGGGCTGATTGAGAGATATATCGTGGGAGTGAGGGCATTACAGGCGTTTGGATACGGTTTTGGGCTGATTTTTGGGCTAATTTTATATGGCAAGACGCCGTTTTCCTACGTACCGGATTTCCTATGCCACGTCTTGGCTTTCCCCTTCCGGATTGGTGCTCAGCCCCTCGCCGCTTTTACTCACTGAGTAGAACTGAGCACGCCTCTGAGCGCTCTGATCCGATCAGTGAGCATGATGTAAGCTCAGTGAGCAGCGCTGATCTGGTCAGTGAGCATGATGTACGCTCACTGATCTGCTCACTGATCAAGTCTGACCCTCTCACCGAGCGCTCTGATTTGCTCACTGAGCATAGCCTGAGTAAGGCACTCCAATAAAACGCAACATGCTAGCCCCATCCAAAGGAACCCTTGTACCTAGATTGCCCCCACGCGAAAAACTATGGGCATCAATAAACTGGCGTTTCATTTACTGGTATCCATTGCGCCTCGATGGAGCTTAGTCGTTAATTTCCCAATCAGTCAATCAATAAATCTGTATACTCCTGGGAATCTTTGCCTACTGGTTACACGGTCTCCTGGATAGGCATAGAGGAAGTGCTAATCTTTGAGCAATTACGTGAATCCACCGCTATCTACCTTTAGCCGAGAAACCCCTCCCCCCGAAGGGATCGCTCCTGGGAACCCACTGGATAATCGATTATACTACTCCAGCCGACGAACGCACTAGGTAGTCCTGGGAGCACATCAAGCTCTATACCATTTTGTCACACCTATAAGCTATCTTCACAAATTCCCTTAGAATCATTAATCATTTAGATTCCCAGGAACTCAAAGCGTAGCTAGTACTCCTGATAACGTGCCAGAGGTAGGAGGCGTTAAACCTACTAAGAGTAACCCCTATCCCGTTGACATAAAATGCCCAGTATGATGAAACGCCCACCAGGTACCTGCACATTCCGTTACAGATCCTAGGAAGTCAAGGTTATTAAAATTGCTCAGAGTGTCCTGGGAGCGTGAATTCCCTCATCGCCATAGTTATCAGTAAGCTAAATTCTAGGACGAGGGGATTTATTCAAGATATAAAATATCCTGCCTTGTGATATTCAGGTCCATTTTCATTATCCTCTTCAAAATTGATTCAATCAATAGGTATCCTTCATCTACTTTCATCTCTATATTACTCGGTATTGACAACGCTAAACGACTAGTAGATCTGCGAAACTCAAGAACTCGCTGTTATAGCTAATCACGAGCTATCAGGTTCATACAACCTTGAATCAGTTATCTGCTATAATAAACTTAACGATCCTAGTATATCGGATAAACGAAGTCCGAATAGAGACAATATTCGGATGGGTTCCTCTGAATTCCGGGGAGAGTAAATGCGGAGAATCTCCAAATTATACCGAAGGACCTAATACTCACGGAATCTACTCCTGTTTCAACATCTTCGAATTACCGGAGTTACGAGCACTTCGCCTGTACCAGCTTTGTTCAAGACCTAGCAACGGCCTACCTTCAGCCGGAAAGGGGAGAAATTAGGATAAACAGCATTAAACCAAGTACGTCAACTCTGCTAACTGGTTTGTTTCAATAGTAATCAAACTAAAGTAGCAGATTTTACAGGATCAAAGAAAGGTCATGAATCTTATGGTGATAATTCAAATTTTACGGAATATCTACCCCTGTCTTACGAAAGGTTCCAGCGTCTCGAATGATTACACTAAGAGAAATACTTTAATAGAATGGTTAGAGGTTTTGCCACTTAGGAAGCTTTCGAGAACTCATGTCCGCGTATTAACTGGATAGTTTTGAAGCATTATAAGATCAATAATCGCCTAACTCTCGCTGAGCGGAAGGCGGCATGTTCCCTACAGGAACATACTAAACAAAAGTAGAGTTTATTAAAGATAACCATTTCCAAGCCAGATTCGGGACACGCATCCCGAAATATAAGCGAACAAATTCGCTGGTACGATGACAATCTTCGATGGAATTCCGTGAATTCGCATTTCGAATTCGAGGATCCTCAAAGCTCTCAACCGACTCATCAGTCTTTCGACGATTTTCGAAGGTCGATTCGTCTGCACGGCTTGTACAATCACATATCTTGTCCTCTCCTCTTGTACTGCCTCAATATTCTTGCTGGAGAGATTAAGGAACTTGGGAGTGGTCATTACAAAATTCTTGGGATCTAACTTTTCATCACCTAGACGGTGCTAGTATCCTGCGGCTATAGGACAGCAAAGGAGGAGCCAGGGCACTGTTCTCCGGTTTAAAACAGGCTAAGGCAGATTCCCTGGAATTTATCAACTTTGTGACCCGTTTCAAGTTTCCTCATAGCTACGATGGAGTGATATCCGGCACGGTGGCTTAAATGCTTTTGTTATGTTTCTTATTTCACCACACATACTATACAGTAATAAAGACGAAGAGTTGAAATGATAAGCTGTAGTAACTTGCTAGCTTTAAGGCCGAGGTCTAGCAAGGTAGTACAGTATAGCCATTGCGTGAGTCTTCCCACGTTCGCCTGTTACCAGTATGCTCAAGCACTTTACTGTACAGTTTTGAACAGCTTACGCCCTTAATGATATATGGCCAATTTCTTGAGCCACCGGAAAGGCTGTACTTCATATTTTGGACTGGAATAATGCCAAAGATTATCCCTGAGAATCAAATTACCCACCCTTCATCTTGATTTTCATATAGTGTAAATCTATGATAACTATAACGTGAAGATCAGGAAATAACCAGTACTAACAAATAAGTGCAGATTTGACCCCCTCGTTACTGTGTTCAATATTTTGTTTTTGCAGACGAATTAGAGCTTCTCACTGTTACACTCAAGCATAAGGATGTCAAATCCACATAGTAGTATTCAACGAAGGTATCAAGACTAGAGAGGGAAGAGAAAGAAGAAGACAGCTATCTATCATGTAGGCTCCTTTTTAAACCCCCTCCAGCAATCGTGATAACTTCCGTCTTGCAGAATTCCATCTATCTTACTACCAAAGGCCGCTATTCATATTGGATCTTACAGTAGCAACACCACGAGAGAGATTGTTGGATATATTAAATCCTGGATCCCAATAACAAAATCCAGTTTTGCTAGGGCTCTGCGTTAGAATCAGTAAATCATTATTATTTATTTCTAAAGCCATACGAAAGTAGTGCAATGTGGTTACTGTCAACATGTTTGTGTGCGTAAGCCCTCGGATCGGCAATGCGGCGCATGTGCATCAACCCACATATCAATTATTGATGCCGATCGTCAACCATCGTATCAGATAAAAAAGCAATGAGAATCGCAACACTCTCGCGTACGACTTCCATTATTCCGAATGTTTTTGATTTTCTCCTCCGATCCCCTATTGTGTACAGTACCTCATGTTATAAATGCTGCCTTCGTTCCTAGTGTACGGAGTAGTAGAATAAGTTTGACAGCCTTTGTTGTTCA